GCTTGAGTTCTCCTTTTGATCCCGTCTAACGATCCCCTTTCGTAAGTCCACGAATCGGCCGTGGCGTCCCTGGAGCTTCCTTCCCCGTGCTATTCTATTTCCTACGCGCTGCTAATCTAATTAACCTGACACTTCTCTACGGCTCAATGGACATCGACTAGCCAGCCACTCCCCTTGCATTCCAATCTCTTGATTTATACTGCTGTCACTGTCAAACTCGTGCTTGCATCATCCGTTTGCATCAACTGCGCGTACCAGTTGATCGTCTTCGTACTGTGTGTTTCCCCCATCCATGCAGCCAGGCTGAACTCTCAACAATAAATTAATTAATTAATTAATGAAAATTAATTAATTAATAAATAAATCAATATATATATATATATATATATATATATATATATATATATATATATATATATATATATATATATATATATATATATATATATATATATATCAGACACACAACAGTGTATGTGTATGTAGGAGTCAAACAAAAGAGTGTGTGTATGTAGGAGTCAAATATAAGTGTGTGTGTATATATNGGAGTCATACAGCCGTGTATGTTTATGTTGGAGTCATTCAGCCGTGTATGTGTATGTAGGAGTCATACAGCCGTGTATGTGTATGTAGGAGTCATACAGTCGTGCATGTGTATGTAGGAGTCATACAGCAGTGTATGTGTATGTAGGAGTCATACAGCCGTGTATGTTTATGTTGGAGTCATTCAGCCGTGTATGTGTATGTAGGAGTCATACAGCCGTGTATGTGTATGTAGGAGTCATACAGTCGTGCATGTGTATGTAGGAGTCATACAGCAGTGTATGTGTATGTAGGAGTCATACAGCCGTGTATGTTTATGTTGGAGTCATTCAGCCGTGTATGTGTATGTAGGAGTCATACAGCCGTGTATGTGTATGTAGGAGTCATACAGCAGTGTATGTGTATGTAGGAGTCATACAGCCGTGTATGTGTATGTAGGAGTCATACAGCCGTGTATGTGTATGTAGGAGTCAAACAGGGAGATGATGCGCTAAACGAAATCCTTGAAACAAAAAAGTATCACGGAAGGCCTAACTTAACCAGGACTCAACCTTTCCCTGCAATAAATGCAACAGAGTCTGCCAATCAATGAAGTGTCAATAGTTACTCCATCATGTCGGGATAAGGAATTAAATAACACATTTTAAAAAAAATTATATTTTTTACAATCAGTACAACATTGTAATCCACTCGTCTACCAATTTTATTAATTAAACAAATATAATAAAAAATAAATAATAAGAAAAAAATATCATTGGGACTGGCAAAACATTCACACCAAACCCTTTATTCATGCTTGGCTCTCTCGGCTTCATGTTTAAACCATCAGCCTTTAAACGTATGGCCTATTGATACAAGTGTTTGAGACTATCAGCTTTTTAATGAATTGCCTATTGATAAAAGTGCTGAAAATATCAGCCTTGCAATGCTTGGCCTATTGATACCAGTGTTGAAACTATCAGCCTTGCCATGAATGGCCTAATGAGACAAGTGTTGAAACTATCAGACTTTCCATGAATGGTCTAATGATACAAGTGTTGAAACTATCAGCCTTGCCATGAATGGCCTAATGATACAAGTGTTGAAACTATCATCCTTTCCATGAATGGTCTAATGATACAAGTGTTGAAACTATCAGCCTTGCCATGAATTGCCTAATGATACAGGTGTAGAAAATATCAGCCGTGCCATGAATGGCCTAATGATACAAGTGTTGAAACTATCAGCCTTTCCAATGAATGGCCAAATGATACAAGTGTTGAAACTATCAGACTTTCCATGAATGGCCTAATTATACAAGTGTTGAAACTATCAGCCTTGCAATGAATGGTCTAATGATGCAAGTGTTGAAACTATCAGCCTTTCAATGAATGGCCTAATGATACAAGTGTTGAAACTATCAGCCTTGCCATGAATGGCCTAATGATACAAGTGTTGAAACTATCATCCTTTCCAAGAATGGCCTAATGTTACAAGTGTTGAAACTATCAGCCTTTCGATGAATGGCCTAATGATACAAGTGTTGAAACTATAAGCCTTGCCATGAATGGCCTACTGATACAAGTATTGAAACTATCAGCCTTTCCATGTATGGCCTAATGTTACAAGTGTTGAAACCATCAGCATTTCCATGAATGGCCTAAGATACAAGTGTTGAAACTATCAGCCTTGCCATGAATGGCCTAGTGATACAAGTATTGAAACTATCAGCCTTTCCATGTATGGCCTAATGTTACAAGTGTTGAAACTATCAGCCTTTCCATGAATGGCCTAAGATACAAGTGTTGAAACTATCAGCCTTGCCATGAATGGCCTAATGATACAATGTTTAAACTATCAGCCTTTCCAATGAAGGGCCAAATGATACAAGTGTTGAAACTATCAGCCTTGCCATGAATGGCCTAATGATACAAGTGTTGAAACTATCAGCCTTGTCATGAATAGCCTAATGATAAAAGTGTTGAAACTATCAGCCTTGCCATGAATGGCCTAATGATACAAGTGTTGAAACTATCAGCCTAGCCTTGAATGGTCTAATGATACAAGTTTTGAAAGTATCAGCCTTGCCATGAATGGCATTATGATACAAGTGTTGAAACTATCAGCCTTTTAAGTGTATCGACTGTTGATACTCATCTAGTGTTGAAAATCTGTAAAAATATGCATATTAAAAAAAAAACGACGCCCAATGTATTAGTTTAAAAAGTTGAAAGGCTTTGCTGAAACAAAATGAAATAAATTTGAAAACATATCTGCAAGAAGATTTCATTAGATTATTATGTAACAAAATTCTTTCTTAATTTTTTTTTTTTTAATTGGAGTCCAATTCTTAGAGCTAGTAAAACAATCCGGCTCGTTTTGTTATTAACAGCATGGACATGTTAACAATAACACTAAGCAATCTAATCTTAAGGTTAGCATTGGGTCGTTGAATAGCAACTGGTTTGCTGACTGTCTTATGCTGAATCTTAACAACGGCAGGCACTGTGTCGATAGTCGTGTTTAAAAATATCATAATAGGGAGAAGAAAAAATATTCGTTAAAAAATATAACATATTCTTAAAAATGTCTAAAGGCTTACTAATGTTGATTCACACAAAATGTATTATGTTGTGTATCTTAACCAAAAAAAAAAAAGAAAAGTTCATAAACAAGAAAATGTCATCTTTAAATTTAGAACAAAAGTTAGTTTTGAAAAGTCGATAAAGAGTTGACAATTCTTTTTATATAAATGTGGACTGGTTACAGGACGGGCACGCTATCCAAGGTCATTTGGCAACGTTCAATGTTCTTATTTTCGGACACTATTTCTGGTGATTAATACGTATTGATATCTGTAGTCCTTTTTTCCTGTAAAACTACTAATCAGGTTGAGCAGGGGGGTTGTTAAAAATACAATGCGCTGATTTCATGTATAGAAAAAAGATTTCTTGAAATCGCTGTCAATGAAAATGTCATATTTTTGTTATTTATAATTGTGTTTATTTTTTGGTTTCAGTTTTTGAAGAAGAAAAAAAAAACGCAAATTCAATATTCTTTTAAAAAAATGTTTAAAATGTTAAATTAGTCAGTCAAACATCAAATTAATTTTAATATCTAAATTGTACATGAAATAAAATTTTACCCCAAACAATTTAGAACATGATTCTTGTGTATTGTGTTAATTCCCCCCCACCCCCCTACCCCCCATAAAACTGATATAAATAATATGCAGATACAATTTTCTGATTAATTATTTTCTGACGAAAATAACATTTTGCTAATTGAAAGACTTTTTGTCAGAAGTGAAGAGCACGATGTGATACAAAGAAGGGAGAACGGATTGGATAATAATTTCCTAAATATTTATAATTGTCTCATATATTATGCCATGGCTTTCTTACAAAATAAAATAAATAGTATAGAAGCGTATCTCCAACGAAACAGTGAAAGAAAGGGTTCGCCAGGCAATTGGGGAGTACGATGACCTACTGGTCACTGTGAAAAAACGCAAACTACAATGGTACGGCCACGTAACATGGAAAAAAGGGCTTGCCAAAGAAATATTGCAGGGCACCACAAGAGGAGGGAGAAGAAGAGGAAGACGAAGAAAATGATGGGAGGATAACATCAAAGAGTGGACAGGACTAACACTGGAAGATGCTATGCGTAGTGCAGAAGACAGAGACGAATGGAGGAGGATAGTTCATCTGTGGCGCCCCAACGGTCCAAGGACTAAGGGACATGATGATGGTGATGATGATGATGATGATTGAAGCATACAATTTTTTTAAAAACAATTGTAATCTTTTATTTTTTTAAACGGTTGGCACAAATTAACCTCTTTTTAAAAAAAAAATATTATTGATAGAGTAGCCTAATCCAATAAAGAACTTTGATACCAAATACTCTTATATTCTTTACACTCATTTGAGACTCTATTTTAACTAACAAGATATGGAAATAAAATAGATAGCTTTTTTACATCGTTTGCTTGAGACCGTCATGATATTAATTTAATCATTTCTTTTCCAAGATCACAAAAATAAATCATATTTTTAAGGAAAATATTTTGTCAACAGAACATGAAAATGACGTCACAGGAAAAAAATTAATAAAGAGAGGCTATAAATTTTAGTTTTCAACTTCATGAAAAAATTTGGCAAAAATGTATGTTTGTTTTGTTAAAGCAATGGCAATGTCAGGGCGTAGGTGGTAAGATAACGTCAGCATTGGGGGGGGGGGGGAATAAAAAGAAGCGTGCACTGTTATTAATTTCTAAACCTTTGAGAAAGGTTTAAATATAGACAAGCTTACACAAATTATAGGTATAAAATAAAAATTTGGCAAAAATGTATGGTTGTTTTGGTAAAGAAATGGCAATGTCAGGGCGAAGGTGGTAAGATAACGTCAGCATTGGGGGGGGGGGAATAAAAAGAAGCGTGCACTGTTATTAATTTCTAAACCTTTGAGTAAGGTTTAAATATAGACAAGCTTACACAAATTATATGTATAAAAATCAAAGGTATTGAAGCTTTTGCCAATATTTTGGGCCATGATCATCAGTATTGATATAGTTAAAAATTTCTTGAAAAAAAATATTCAGCTTTGTTCTGGTTGCTTATAAATACCCATGCGGTTCTTCTGTCTGCCAAGAAGTCTCATTGCAGAGATCACAAAATCGTCTTTTTAAAAAATGTAAAATTTTGCGTTTTTTATTTACATTATTTATTGTAAGATCTAAGTTTTGTTTGTTTACAATTAAGATTTTGAAATGACTTTGAAAACAAATAATCAATATTTATTTAGTATTTCAGAGTAAAAGTCAAGCTCTTTATTCTTTAGAAATCTTGAGTGGTTTTTTTTTGTTTGCTAACTAACTGATTAATATTTAATTTCCTCTTTAATTATTTAAAAGAAATTAATGATGAAAAAAATCTGAATAAAATCACTTATAAATTATTGCCAAAATAAAGTTATAGATAACATTAAAATAAGCAACGCTGCATTGAACACAAATGTGATTTCTTGACCACACAGCATTATCTGTTTCTACTTATTAAGGTCAAGCAGACCAGTTTCACCCAAAAGTCTGGATGAGCTCATCAGTTCACTTGAACGTTTGAACTGGGATGGGCGGGCAGACCTAGAGAACATCGACTTCCTGGTTTCTTCATACCAAAGTAACAAATCCGACTGGGAAAAGTTTGCTAAGACCAGACCAGGAGATGCGTAAGTTGTTTTATATAACATTAAATGGCATAACCACTTGTTTTTCATTGTATTAGTTAATAAATAGTAAAAGTGATCGGAATGCAACAAAAAAAATCACAGCTTAATAAGAAATGTGTATCTACCTTTGAAGAAATAAACAAAAGATTATAGCAATTAACTACTTTATTTCGTTTTTCAAATTTTGGAATTGTAAGGCTTTTGTGAGGTGGGCATTAAGTTCAGATAACTCAATTGATTCTCCAAATTTATAAAGTGGGTTCTCTTATGAATCAATAAACTTTTTCTTGGAAATGGCTCTAAAAAAACCTTTTAATTAAGACAGGATTATTGGTAAATATATTTAAAAATAATTAAGGTGTTAAATCACAAATAATACTAAGTATTTATTGCTGTAACTCTGTGTTCAATAGGCGCGAATAGTTAAGTTCCTAGAAGTTAGCACTGTTTGGGATTTGTATAAAGTGTGTTCCGCGTATGCATGTTTTGTCAACTGTACTTAGCTTAGCGGGATATTCCGAGTATCAAATGAGTCACAGTTTAGCATGTCATTCTTTTCCGAATAGAATGAGACTTTTCTACACATCTCAATATACATATTTTGTGTGTAAATATTTGTGCTAGGCTATTGGTATGGGGGGAAAAAAAACGACACTTTTAACGTTTCATCATGAAGAGATTTCTTACTTACGTGGAAGAACACATCATAAGTTATCTATATTTCGTTTATATTATAGCTACACTCGCAACCATGTGTTTGAGAAAGATGGCAAGTTCAACGTTCTGATTCTTTGCTGGCAACCAAAACAAGGAAGTAAGATTCACGGTCACCAGGGCTCGGATTGTTTCCTTAAGGTACGCCTTTCATGAATGGCAAGGTTTATGATGGAGTTAGCATTTTAAAAAAGTTGTTTTGTTCTGATTTTGAAGGAAACAAAAAAAATTGCATCTAACTTTTTGAATCCGATCAGGTTTTGCAGGGTGAATTCAAGGAAGAGCAGTTTTTTATGCCGGAGGGGGAAGGGTGCCCTTTGCAACTCAAGCAGGAAAAAATATACACTTTGAATGAAGTCAACAATATGACAGGCAAATATACGCCATTTAATATTATACTTAGCACATCAACACAATTTGAATATTAAATTTCGTTTTTAATTTTCGTTTTAGTTTCTTAATAATGCATTCATAACTTATTTTTTTTTACATTCCACGAAAACCTTGTTCAATATATAACTATATATATAAGTTTAAATTATTTTTTTTTAAAATGTCTGTTGATATATACCAATGACTTGTTATTTGTATAATTAAATTGAAAATCACACAGCCTAAGATACGTGTTTTACCATTTGATTTTGTTTAGATGAAAAGGGATTACATCGTGTGACCAACAATCACGACTCGATCCTGGCCGTGTCCCTTCACGTCTATGTGTAAGTACAAACGAAGCAGGACGTTTTGGCGCTGTCGTTTTGGCGCAGGACATTTTGGCGCCATTTTAAAATACCTTTTTATTTAACTTGACGTTTTTAAACTTTTAATAAAGAGAATGCAAAATATATAACTGTTGACGACAACTGACGGGATTTCAGTTGTCTCTGTTGCCCTCCTTTTGATTCCAGTCATTATCATGGCAACCTGAAGTTGCGCTGCGTCACTTCCGTGACTATGCTGGTTCATCTGCATAGGAACTCACTCATTATCTACGGTCGTGAGTAAACGAGCCTTGCATTCGTTCTTCAGCTCACATCGCTAGAACTTCTTGGAATGGTCTGCACTAAACTAATCGAACACATAACAGTATCCTTCATCATTCAACTTGTCTTTACCACGCGTCGATGTAACATTTTCCATTTTACTGGTTTAACAGAATTATAATATGTGATCTATTTATAAAACTCTGCTTAACTTATGATTTTAGTCTAGAACACTCTTGCACTTTTATAAATGTGAAGCGCACCCATGATCAGGCAGGAACGGTAAATAATTGCTTAGGCCATCTGTGCGCCAAAATGACCTGCGCCAAAACAACTCTGCGCCGAAACGTCACGTACCGAAGTATAATACAGTGATACAGGTTTTATATTAAGTAAGATTGTAACTAACAAAGATGACTCCGTTTTGGTAGGGTGCATAGATGCCAATGTGTCAGTACAATATAGTGCAAGATTAATTAAGCTTATAGGTGAAACAACGAATGCTCCCGGTTGTCCGTGTCTAACCACGTCTACATGTAAGTATATTCATGGGCTATATTTATAATAAAGATTAAGCAAGATTCCTAGTTCTTGAAATAAACAACAGATACAAATAAAAGTGGTATATGTTAAGTTTTATTTTGTTGAAAAAAATTTCACGTTAACAAGTTTTTTATTTAATTACAACACAACTTTGTCCAAAAAAGTCAACGTAACTCATTTTTGTGAGGAAATTTAAGCTGTTTGTCTTTTTAAGATAACCAATATTTCCAAAGACACGTACAATGTTTGTAAAATGATGATAAAATTGTAAGATGGCATTGATTTATATTTAATATAAAAAGAGCTACATTAGAGGCATTTATATTATTAACAAAATATTGGCTAGGCACGTTTTGAATGTTATAAATTAATTATGAAACTTATGTTTTAAATTTTAAAAACAATTATTTAAAATGAGATGTGAATAAATTTGTTAAAAAAAAAAAAAAAAAAAAAAAAAAAAAAAAAATTTTAAAAAAAACCAAAATAAAAAAAAAAAAAAAAAAAATAAAAAAAAAAAAAAAAAAAAATTTTAAAAAAAAAAAAAAAAAAAAAAAAAAAAAAAAAAAACTTTTAAAATTCCTCCAATTTAACACATCGTATTTAATCACTATTTGAACACTATTTGAACACTATTTGAACACTATTTGAACACTATTTGAACGCTATTTGAACACGATTTGAACACTATTTGAACACTATTTCCATTTCTCATACAGGCCCCCATTTGCTGAGTGCAGGTGGTATGAAGAACATAACGGGAAAGAGAACATTGCCCAGATGAGCTATTATTCTTACAGGGGGGAGATCAAGGTATTTAGTTAAATACGTGGGACAAACATACGTTTTTTTCATTCATTTTTTTTTAAAATCCAGGTTCTTTTAAATAATATCTTTTTTGCTAAATTATTAACCTATAATAAAACGATTTCAGATTTTTAAACACATTTGATTGAAATTTTATTTTTAAACGAAAATAAGTTATATGCAATGTTCTTTAAACATAATACATGTAGTAATTTTAAACTAATATAATTTTGACTTTAATTTATATTACTTTAAGAAAACGCTGCTTATAAACTATTTCAGAGAATATTTACAATGGCATATCAATGTGTATGTATTTATTTTCTTCCCAGGGAGATTCCAATGCTTTAGCTGACAGCAAATCAGCTTCTATGTGCAAAGATGGAGGCAGTCAATGTGGAGATAGAAGTGACGCCAGGAGCTGCCAGGCAGGCTCGGCCAGGGCTGTGTGCTCAAGGGAGCCGTGCACCGGCTCCGGTAAGACCAGCGGCTGCGGGCAGTGCTGCCATGACACCAAACAGTGCTCCTGTTGAGGCTACACGGAATTCATTGTATCCGTTTACAGAACGAACCCATTCGTTTTTTTATTCCACTTTTAGAAAGTTAACACGTAAAAATGATCTTAAATATTTAGACGTTCAGCCTAGTTTTATGTCTAACATATATTTTATTCATTGTTGTTTTTCTTTAAATAAATATATACGTGTTATTTCGCTTCACTTCCTTAAATTAATAAGTATAACTTGTTTCCAGGTAATGTTTAAGCTTAAGATTATAAAAGGAAATCAATTTTGTATTTGTACTTGTTAAATTTCATATTAAAATGACTTTAAATTTATTTATATTTATAATAATGAAATTAACTCATCTGAACAACACCTGCTATTGAATAACTACAATTACAATATATATAATTACAAAGTTCAAAATGAGAAACGATCTATTTATTATTGAACTCCATTCAAAATCTCTTTTTTCTTACATTTTTACAGGCACTAGTGGCAAAAATTTTTATTTATTTAATTAATTTTTTGTGTGTGTCTATAAACTATTTATACAATTTAACATACTTAAACCTTTTTATAATTATTATGTAAGTATAGGCTAATTTATTCAACCCATATACTGAATAAATTTGACTTAATTGTCTAAAATTGCATGATCGAAGCGATTTTTTCTTGGAATGGTATTTAGACAGAAAGGCTAATAAAACGTTATTTATTTCCAAGAAAAGAAAATGTGCATTTCGAATCGGGAATTCCTTAATGCATATGGTATAAGCATTTTTTTATAAATCTTAAAGCAGGCCAAAATTCTACGAATCGCCCGGCAAAACAATGTACCGTTCGATTTACATCGATTAATATTCTGCTTGGTACTCAAACAGATCAAGTTTTATAAGGAATCCAATTTAACACACGTAACATTCTCTTGCAAACTTAGCGTATTCGACTTAGGAGACGTTTTAACGTTTAATACTCCTAAATATAAATATAGCAGAAGAATTATAAATAACTGTGCCTATAAATAGACCAGCTTTAAATTTTCAAGAAAAAATATTGCTGGAACGAATGCGTGTATTTGCATTCCAGCTGTTTTATTTTTAGATTAAGACATTGTAGCTCTGTGGGTGAAAGAACTGACGCAAGCAGATTAAATAGGAATTTTTTCACGGAAAACATACTTTCTCTGAATTGATATAAGTTTATGGTACTGTAAAGATAATATTTTTTAATGCTATACAATGTGAGTGTGGTGCTAGCATAATAAAATTAAATGTAGAAATCAATGGGTTTTTTTCTATTGTTTAAAATATACTTGTGTTAAGCTGTATTGTCACTTCCCTTGATTTTGCCGGGTCACGTACAGAAATAAAAAACAAACAAAAATGTTCATTTGTCTTTTTAAAAAAAATATTTCCGGGGTTAAATACAAGGTTAAGAAATTAAGGAGGGGAGTTTTTGTAGATATAGGTAGAAAAAATATAAATATTTGAAATTATAATAATTGTGAATGATTACGTACGTAGTTGTATTTATATCTTAAATCATATTAAATCTAACATTTAATATTTAAAAAAAAACTGTTTATCAAAAGGTTTTTATTTTAAGACTCACGTAATCTGTGGTAATGTATCCAAATAATTCGAAGCTGACATCATAAAAGCACTTAGATACATTGCCATATTCCCAACACGAATAATGGAACACAGGAAACGTGAATATGTATCCACACTATGACATAAGCCTTACACATCATTTATATTTAGGTACACACATGTAGAGAGAATGTCCACGCACTGACTTACACAGTTATACTAAATTGATTAGTGCCCTTTAATGTATTGATTTTTTTATAAGTTTATACAACCGTCACATTATGACGGAAGTAACCAGGGCGTAACATAATGAAGGACGGCCATGCATGAAGTGGCGTAGCGAGGGTTAGTGTCGTCTGGGGCGGGTCAAACTTTTTGGCCACCGAATTCAGAGAAAACTAAAAACCTCTGCAGGCGGGCGAATATGCATACAAGCACAGGAAACTTCTTTCCCTGGTACGTTCTTAAAGTTATAAGAACACATTACATTCGGGAAATGTATGATAAATCTTAGATATTCTTTTTTTTTAATTTTAATAATTTTTTTGTGTGGATATCTGAATTCAAACCCGAAGATGAAGTCCCATAGGAAATTCTCCGACCACTCCTGCAGCGCCACTGTTGCCAAACTGTATCATCCCATGATGTTCCCTTGGGTTATCGAGCAGCGTGGAGAGAGGTTTTCTTTGTAGGGAACCCGCTTATAATCCTAAAAAGAATAATACCCAGGCCTTGTGGATTTCGTCCAGCGAAGTCTACACCATCGTCACATTGTGACGGACAGATTCTAGCCAAAAAAAAAGTGCAATAATTTCAGCTGAAAATTAATAAAATTATAACCTAACCAAATTAATTTGTGATAGATTGATATAAGCGTTTTTAAATATATTTGCTTAACCATACATGTATACATTTTGTTCATCTAAAAAGCCAAAGTTTGAAACAGATTTGTAAAACCATCTAACGCTAAGAAAACAGGACCAGACGGCATCATCAGGTACTTTCTGCTAGCCGACGATTTTGCCCTGAACGCATTTTCAAAAGCGGATATGAATTGCAGTGTTGCAAATTTCTCCAGTAGCTGCAAGAAGATTCGGTCTCCCCATTAACATGAAACTGATGAGGTTATATACCAGCCAAGTCTTCGAAAAATTTTTAGTGATCCCCACATTCAAGTATATGGGTTAAGTGTTGGAGTTGCTAACATCTTCATTGCACTTGGCAGCAAGGTTTCCCAAAGCGCAACAATCAATGAGGAGGTTAAGCTTTTGATTGCAAATGCCAGTGCAATATATGGCAAAATGTCTAATTACGTTTAGACCAGGAGAGGTATCAACACCCTGACAAAAAGAAAATATACTTGCCTCCCTAAGCTTCTTTCTATACGGATACGTATGATGGTCTAGAAAGTTGAACAACTTCCACACGATATGCCAAAGAACATAATCAACATCAAACGGCAGGACAGTTCCAAGACACGAAGGTACTCTCACAGGCAGGTCTGCCTAACATATATACCATTTTAATGTAGTCACAGCTTCTTTGTGTGGGATGTTTTGTGAGAATGTCAGGCAAAACTTGTTCTAAAAAGATTTTATGGTGAGCTCTAACATTGCAAGGGGATTGCTGCTAGGTGGAAGAGTCTCCTTAAAGAAAACATAAAAGCTACGCCTAAGGCCTTCGAAATTAACCCAGACACGCGGTATGAAATATCAAAGGATCGAAATTCGTGGCGTCTCTCTTTACACAAATGCTGCAAAAGCATGAAGTCAGCCGAGTGGCAGCTTCAGGGCTTAAATGGCAATTTAGAAAAGCCCGCGTTAACTCTGAGCATGACGATGTCCAATCCATTTATTTGCACTCACTGCAAAAGAAACGTTCGTGCCGTAATCTCCAAACATTTTCGGTGTACGTGTTTCTGGTGGAAATCAAAGCAGCATGTTATCGCACCTGAACACTTAAGACAGGTGGTTCAGTGGGGATACGGTTTTCCTAGAAAGTTTTTAAAATTTTTTTTTTTAAACTGAGAGATAAGATTGATATTGTAATGAATGAAACAAAATTAAAATAAATCCGCATGTATTGCTATTCACAAACAAAGAATTTCCTTTTAAATAAATATTTTTAAATAAACGTGGAAAATATTAATAATATATATATTTATAATATATTAATATTAATTCTCATCCATAATCTGGCCGGTTAAAATGAGTCAAAGGCCGTATCTATTTCGTGGGCCACACCTTTAAGACCCCAGCCCTAAACACATATCCAACGAACTGATACTGTTACACGCAAACCAATTTGCTAACTTTGCAATTGGATGAAATTGATGAATACTAAATTATTTGTTACCGTTCTTTGAATTCTATCTTTGTGCAAACTTCTTCATGTTTACATGAATTATTGCTATAAAGTGGACTTGTCTGTGAAGTGTCCATGGAAACCAACCACATTCACGTGCATGCAGTGGATGGGTAACTTTTATTCATTTTATCTGGATTTTTCTTTGAAAGTTACGAGAGAGAAATTAAAATCTCAGTGTTCTCGACGGTGTATATCTTAAGCGGTGCTAGGTAACCATTGTCAAGTTCTAAGTTTAACAATGTTAAAAGGTGGATCTATTTTGGCTCATCTGTACAGGAATCTGAGCCACAACTTATCTATCTTTGTCGGAATTTACCGTAAATAATTAATTTTAAGGGATGAATATAATAAAGGTTACATTTTTAGATTCAACAAAATTTAAATAAAGAAAATTAAATGAAAAATTATTTTTTTATTCACTCTAATAATAATATGAAACTAAATCAAATTACACATTCACGATTGAAGCTCACAAGAAACTTATTAGGAAATGAGTAGAAAAAAATACTAGTGAAGCACAAACACAAACTCAAAAAATATTTGAAAAATGAACAAAGTCAAATTCTAAAAAAAAATGTTACTAATAGAAATCATAAGGAAATGTAACAAAAAGGGATCAAGTAACAGAACTTTTGAATGCAGTGTAATGAATCTATGAGATATTAATAGGTTTATCACTATTGTTCCTAATGCCAAAATGTTACACAAATGTGTTAAAATGTTCACAATAATTTTTTTTTTTAAAATAATCATAATACTGGTTCGTCAAAGTTGTCACAATCGCCTTTTAATACAACCGATGCACACACACTCATAATTACTAATGAAGTGTTTTGTTAAGACACTGATGTTCATATTTCTTCCATTAGTCGTTAGGCATGCGTTCTTTACACGGACACTAAGCAGTGACGTCTGAGTTCTATTCCCAAGGTTATCCGGCTAACTAAAGTGAGCGGTTTAAACGAAACAAAGTTCATGATTTTTTTTCTGTTTATTAACATTTCTTTTATTTTATTTTAATATATTGTTGGCAGGGAGGGGAGGTTGTGATAGGGGGTTGCATGATTTTTGATGTACTGATGATTTTATGGCAAGCTGAACATTTCAAGTAAATGCAGATTGCTAGAAATAAAATGTTATAGTGAATGGAAATCTGAAATAAAATTGCTTTAAAAATTTTTTTTTTTTTGATGATCAGATTCTCTAAGTTCAATCTAGAACAAAAGAAAGAAAGGGATAACAAGGTTCATGATATGTAATTTATCTACTTTTAATATTTAAAAAAAAAGAAGAAATTATTCCCATTTTGAGAACAGGGTTAAATAGATCTCGACATTGTCGAACAACTACATTGTTCCTACCGATGAGCTGTAAAGTCTTTGGAAGTTGTATGCTTTCTTTTTATTCAAAACGATCTAAACATTTATGTTTCTCCTACATTCGCATCCTACAATGTATCCCTCATTAAAAAGTGTCCTTACACTGCTCTGTCATTTAAAGCATGTGTCTATAAATACAAGCTGCATATCCGTGCTGTGAAAGGGTACGTTATCTAATTTAAATATTGTCATTTAAGTACGAAATTCAACAAAATGGTTAGGCCTACATAGCGTGCTTATAAAATGTGCCGATAAACAGCAATAAACTACAATTATAACTATCTGCATGTCAACATCAAAGCAAAGCTAAAATGGCATTCTAATGCAACATTTCAAACCAAAAACTTACAGAAGATACATTCAAATCATAACGTCTTCATCTCCCCAAAAGTAAGGATATGAAGATAAACAATCATTATGGCCCAAATATGTCTACTTTTACAAGCATAATTCACGTGTCTGGTCTGAACACATATACATGTTTTTTTGTTGTAGTTAGCATTTAGAGAAATATGACTACACAAGCTGGATGTTGTTGTTTTTTTAATTCTGTAAAAAAAAAGGAGCATATATTTATATTTCATTAAAAATGCCTACGAAAAGGAACATGCACAAAATAGTAACTTCTTTGTATCAATAAAACTATCTTTATCTTAATGAAAGTTATTATTATCGAAAAAAAAATATTTTTTTTATTTTTTATGTTACCTTGTTTTTAGACGGCCATGTCTATCCCTATGAAGACATCACTCTTGCTGCAAAGGTTATATTGGCAAATTAAAATGTAAGGTTATAACATTTATTTACAAAGCACTTTGTTATTTTTCTTGTAATATATATATATATATATATATATATATATATATATATATATATATATATTTTTTATAAAAAAATTTTCTCACAAATATATTTTTATATATATACTATAATATATACTTTTTTATTTTTTTTTTAATATATATATATATATATATATATATATATATATATATATATATATATATATATTGTTTTCAAATCAACGTTGTCACTAAGATAGTAGTTTATATATACTAGCCAATATACCCGGCGTTGCATGGGGTTGCATTAGGACCCCGATTTTGGTAAGACCCAAATCCCAATGGGACCCCAATCCCATTCTCACCACGATCCCGGTGCAATCTCTTATCCCGGTGTGATCCCGTTCCCTGTGGGATCCCGTTTTCTTGTGGCTACGATCCTAGGGGGGAGTACATATCCTGGTTGGATCCCGATCACAACCATAAAAACAAGTCTACATCTCTGCCAAACTACATTGCTGTTGAAGAGCTGCCAGACGCACTATATGACTACTTTATTACAAAAGCTAAGAAGATCAGGACGAAACTTGACAGTGGCATCGATACTGGTCCAGAATTCTCACTCTTCAACGGCTCTCCTATGGGTGAATTTGTTGGGATCAGTGAATCGAATGTGAGGAAAATCGTGGCTAATACCCAAAGAAAGTCGTGCTCACTCGACCATCTTCCAGTAGGGCTGTTGAATGAATGTCTGGATGAAATAGTCCCCATCATCACTTGAAACATAATTAAGTCCTTGTCAACTGGTATTGTTCCATCATCTTTTAAAAATCAATAGTAACGCCACTGTTAAAGACAGAAAATCTTGACCCAAATGTGATGGAAAATTATTGCCCCATCTCAAATCTACCATTTGTCTCCAAAATCTTAGAAAAAGTCGTTCTGCGTCAACTCCTGGATCACCTCATTCAATGTAACTTTTTGAACCTTTCCAGTCAGCATACAGGGCGCATCACTCTACTGAGACAGCCCTGTTGCGCGTCATAAAGGACCTTATGTCGAATTGTGATGAGGGCCAGGTATCCATTTTGTCTTTACTCGATTTATCGGCAGCTTTCGATACGCTTGACCATGGCATACTGCTCCAGCGTCTGCAAAAAACGTTCGGTCTTACAGATACCGTCCTGAGATGGTTTCACTCGTATATGACCAATCGGGTTCAGTCAGTTATTTCAAACGGCTTGACCTTGAAGCAATCTATAATTGAATTCAGAATACCACAGGGCTCGGTCCCAGGCCCGTTGCTTTTCACTTTGTACGTTCAGCCACTTTGTGCAGTGATCAAGCAATTTGACATGCTGTATCACATGTTCGCGGACGATACACAACTTCATCAATCCGTGACCCCCTCTCAGTTACCTCAACTTCTTACTTCGACACAGAAGACAGTGGAGTCAGTTAAGCACTGGATGACCATAATCAAGCTCAAATTGAATGATGAAAAGACTGAGCTGATCCCGATTGCCACTGCTCAGAAACAAAAATCTGTAAAAAACTCAACATCACTTACTCATTCAGGTATACAGATTGAGTTTGCTCAAACAGTGCGAGACCTGGATGTCTATTTAGACAGAACACTAAATATGGAAAATCACATTAACATGCTTTGCAAGGCGATGTTTCTAGAGCTGCGCAGGATTACTCATATCAGATCTTCCTTAACGTTAGATGCATCAAAGAGGCTGATGTCTGCATTTGTTTTATCACGTATGGAATACATGCCATGCTCTCATGGTGGTTCTCCCAGGTACGCTCCTGGATAAAATTCAATGTACACAGAATAATGCGGCTCGCATCAATAATACTGGCCAATAGGTCCACACGAATATTTACCTCCTGAACAGATTTGGTTGCAAATCTCATAGAAACAACACATCTTTTGCCCTCTTCGTCAATAAAAGTACACTTTTCCAAAGGTGGTCTAAAATGTGTTGATTAAGAAAAAAATGTTAAAGTTACTTGTCCAAAGATGTTATTTAAAAAAAAAATATGTTTACACAAATACACACAAGGCACCTAATTTTCTTTAAAAGTCTGTTATGACGTTTTGATGAATAAATTATTGCTTATCATCACCTTTGAAATGGTTCATAGTTGATTTATTAACAAAATGTATCTTACGCATACACATGCAGTGAGACAGCCACATCATCGTCGCTGTGATTCTTCAAGCGGTGGAAGCCTGTGAAACCTTGATAGAAATGAACAGTACACGGGTAAATATTTTTTTTAAAAGAAACAATTTCATTTTTGTTTAGTTTCAGAATTTAACATTTTTTCATATCACGCATCGTTTTCGGATATTTGAAGACTTATCAATCATTTAGAACCAATATAATGTTACATCAGGATAGACAATGTATTACACAGGGGAGGTTCTTTAACGTTTTGCTGATGTTTTGAGCTTAGTGCTATACAAATGAAGCAAACGGAACACATAGTTTAAACACTCATGCCTTGCTCGTTATGTCCATTTTCAATCGTATCAGAGAATATATTTTTTACTTCTTCGGTATTGCAAAAAGCGAAAAAAGCTGGTCTTGTGTTTCAATGGAAGAAATGTTTTCCCAAGGCTTATTTAAAAGTAGGACTTGGGTACATTTGTATGGGTACACTTTGCTAATCCGGATTAGTACGATTGTGAAAAAAAAATAATGTTAACACAATTGGTCTTCCTTAAGAATATATAGGAGAAGAAATATATTTGAGCGTTAAGGAAACAATCCCACAAGCATTGGACAGACGGCACACTAACCGTCACGTTTGCAGATAATGACTTAAAATCATTTACAATCAATTAACAATTATTGATCACAACTGTATTCTAAAGGCAGACCAATTATCATTATCCTTCTGGCATTATAACCATAACCCATATTTAAAAAAAAATAAAAAATTAACCATCTCAAAATTCAACAAGCCCGATCCGAATTTCATGTAACATATGTACTATTAGAATATTGTTCATATTTAAATTTATGTATCCTAAGATTGAAAAACAAATTTGAAACATAAGTTTGATGCAACACTTGGTAAGTAATGGGAAGTCTACGGGTCCTCTCTAAGAAAAAACGTTTTTTTGTGAATGCAACAACATTACAACGGAACTTGAGAAATATACTCAATTCACAGTCTAGTCTCTGGACCAAAAGTTGCAAATCCTACATCTAAGTATTACTTGGATTAGTCATGATTGATCGGAGATGATTTAAATTGTCAATCAAGTTTCGTTTAAAATAATATATAAATATCATTGCTATTATTATGTTCTGAAATTCTAACAAATGGCTTGCAACACCTTGGTATATTAGTCGTGTGTTTAGCTGTGGAACGAGTCGATTGTTTCAGTGACCGGGCAATTCCCTTTGACAAGACACAGCTTTTGTGTATCATAAAACAAGCATCTTTTAAAGACGTTGTTTCCTTCTAATAACAAGTTTCCAAAGCTGCAAGTTTTATCGCCGACACAAAGTCTAATTTAACTGTGATATTTTAAACCATTTTTCAAACACAACTTTAATGAGAAAAATATTATGAAGTAATTTTTTGTGCATACTAATTCATGTAATAATATCATTTACTTTTTTATTAAGTTAAAAAGAAAATCTTATAAATCTGCAAAGAATGTATATAGAGAACAAATATCCACATGACGCCTGGGCAAACATTTCATTATGTAAAAAAAAATAATTGACTAAAAATATCATTTTATTTACTGTGCATCATTATTTTAAAGTTAAAAAAAAATTAATATTTATACATTTCAAACAACCACATTTATCATGCGTCGTGGAAAAAGGAAGTTTCCGATATCTAAGACAAAGCAAGAGCCACCTGTGTCATGACTGTCTCAAAACGCTACATGGATTTCATTACTAAACGGACTTGACTTACTCTCCAGACTGTTGACATGGTTTTCTTCAATAAGTATATCGGCATGATGGACCACTGCGTCTCCATCTTCTCTACAAATGTGGTGCTCCTCTTCTAAACAACCCCTTAGGACCTGGTCATCAACAGAAATGAAAGCGTTACACCCAAGAAGTACGAATGCTACATTACAACTATGTATACGTCCAGACATTCAACGAGCATAAATTATCAAACAAAAAAAACACTCAAAATACTGCAATGAAATCCATTTATCCCAGCTTCCCTCCCCCCCCCCCCCCCCCTTTTTTTTTTTGGGTTTCTGGCAGTTCTCTGAGTCTTACTTAAAATTAAAGAAGGATACATCAAATAATTTATTGTATAGAAATGACAATTTAAGCAACTGATGTGTTTATTTGATCTGTGTTTCGATTGAAATTACCTTAAATAACCCGAAAGATTCACAATGATCGTGGATCTTATTGCCCTGATTAGGTCTCCAACACATCAGAGCTACGTTATATTGCCCAGGTTTTGTTCTAATTTCATTTCGGCTGTATCTAACGATGGAAAAAATATAAAAAAATAAATAACATAATATAATGAAAAGCAAAGTTAACATCGCAGTTGAATAAGAAGCACATTTAAATACATAGCGGGAGTAATTCATTATTTGAAGAAAAATAAATAATTTCGTTGTTTTACGTAGTTTGACATGACGCTACTTACTTAAATAATTTATATAAAGTTCTAATTATTGTTTTATTTTAAGTCAAAAATTTCGATTACTTTTTTAAATGATATTTAGTATTTAAAACATCAGAAATGGAATATAAAGTTTAAAAAGTATGTTATTTTATTAAATTTACCCTTCATTTTCGTTCAAGTGGTAAAAACCCCTCCAGTCATCCTCATTGTTTTCATAATCCATTAAATATTGGTACAGATCTCGTTTAGCTTGGTATGGATTCGCCCAAGAAATAATGTCAAGTTTACGTATGAGCCTGTCCATGGCTTTATGTCAAAGCTATAAGATGAACACAGACATTTTTTGAATGACAACTAATGGATGCACTTCTCAAAATGTTTAAGTGAAATGTACGGCAGATAAAAAGGCAGATAACAAATCTATCAATTTTTACTTCACACTCATAGGAACAATCCATATATCATTAAGTGCAGAGCTCAACCCTCCAGAAGTATTTCAAGAATTTAAAACTTCCGCTTCTAGGCCGTTTTTTCTAACGTTAGTGTTGAACCTTATATTTTTTATCAATTTTACTTAACGCACTCTTTAATAAATTTATAGCTGTAAGACAACATTTTAAAAGCATATAAAAAATAAGAATTATAAATTAATATAGAAAATAGAAAATCTTTGCTTTCGGAATTATATATTTATATATATATATATATATATATACTGATAAAAAAGCATTACGGTTTAAAATATACTTTTCGTTCATAAATGTCTTAGGTTCAAAAATTCCTGTAAAATAAATTATAAATCAATATTAATAAAAAATGTATATGCTTAAAAATGACAATTTATTCTGAAATGGTAATGTCTTTTGAACACTTATTTCAATTTTTTTTAATAACAAAATCAAGCTTCTCATTATATATGAAACATTTTGCTATCACTGCTCAGAGAGGTGAAAAGAGAAAATATCTTCAGATATAAAACAACAACTATTCTCACATGTACTTCTGTATTGTATACTGTAAAGCTCTTGTCTATCTATGAAATGCAATGAGTATGCGATCTGTTCGGCAAACGCAACGCAAAGACGCTACATTTTATTCCAGTACAATGTCAAGGTCAGTGGTTAGGCGTTTATACAACGTCAGCATTAAAAAAATATATCGATGTATACTGTGCATTGTGACTTAACCTTTGGGTAAGGTCTAAATATAGATCAGCCTTGCTTGTCTGCACACTGTTAAAGCGGTCGAAATTATTCTTTAAAAATACGTATACAAATAGAAGCTATTGCCAATTATATCGCATGCTCATCGACATTCCTATTGAAAATAGCTGATTTCATTTGAAATGTCTTTAACTAAAAACTAAATCCGGCTTTGAATCGGTCTGCTTATAAAGAGCAATGAACACAACTGTCTGATCGGATGTCAAGTCGCCCTGTAACAGAAAAGCGTCTTTAAACATACATAAAACTCTGCTTTTTAAAAAAAATTAACTTATTTCTTATATAATCTATTTTATTTTTTAAATATTTAGTTTATAAATATCAAACAGAATAAGCAAATACTGGTATGTTGATAGCTGATTGTTAGGAAATATATTAAAACAATTCTGGTTTCTATCTTTTTTTTTTTTTTTTTTTTTGTTTAAAGGAAATTTAATATAATATAATTTTAAAAAAAAAATGTAAATGAAAAAAAAAAAAGAAAAAAAAACAAAAAAAANAAAACAAAAAAAACAACCCACATTTCAAATACTAATTAATATAAAAAAATATTTTAATATCTGTGACAGGGGGTGTTAGGAAGATACATTGAAAGAGGACATTGCCGAGAGAGCTTTTATTCACACAGGGGGGAGATCAAGGTAACATTAAAGGTCGCGTCAAATTAGTGCATGAACGCATCATTTTGAGCGTTTTTTTCTTTTGGGGGGGGGGGGGGAGGGAATTTGATTAAATAGTAATTTGTAAGTTGTGACTGGGCTTCATAGAAAAATCACATCAAATGCATGTTAGAAAATTTGATCGTGTGAACCGATGCTAAGCTAGTAGTATGTGTGGGACAAAGATACGCGCGTCATAATGTATTACTAAGTAGTCTCTCCAAAATTTTGCACCTGTAATAAAAAACATCTTCAGAATTTTTAACAGATTTATTAAAAAACACTAAATAAAAAGTTAAAAGAACAGAAGATCAATTACATGTAGTCTTACATGTTTAGTACGTGTAATATATAACATTAATTTTAAGGCTTTTATTTATCGCTGTTAAAAATGATGCTTGTTACTTATTTAACAGGCTAATAATAAAATACTTATTGATGTATTGAATATTCAAGTAGATCGCATTCATTGACATGAAATCCCATCTCGCTGGTCATCGTATGGAAGGGGAAGCAGCCAATTTAAAGACAAATGGGAAGCTAGGAGCTGTCCGACTGGATCAAACGATGCTGAGTGCCGCTGTGAGGCCAACGGTGGTCAGTGCTGTCAGGACGCCATGTCCTTTACGTTCAACGATGCTAAATGATGTCAGGATACCAGGTGCTGTACGTTCAGCGTTGATTAGTGCTGCCAGGACGCAAGCTGCTTTAAGACCACCAGTGTTGAGAGCTGTCAGGACACCTGAACCTGTAAGACTAGTGCTGGTCATTGATGTCATGACAATGGCTTCGGTAAAACAGGCTGTTGTCAGTGCTGTCAAAACCCCGGCTAGGGTAAGACCATCGGTTATAGTCAGTGCTGTCAGGACACCATACAATGCTAATGATGAGTCTAAACTGAATTCTTTGTATCTATTAGTGGAACAACGCAATTCGTTTATTTCTTCAAATTTGAATAATAAATACTTCCAGTTGCAGCCTAGTTTTATGTCTAACATACACATTATTCAATCGTGTTTTATCTTCAAATAAATACACACAATTAATACTTATACATCGCTTCATGAAAAAAATGTTTAAGCTTAAAATTATTCAAGAAATTCAATTTTCGACTCGTACTCATTAAATTTTAAATTCAAGTGACTTTATAAAACTTGTAATTGAATCCATGAAATTTACTAAGAAAAGCAACATATGATATTGGATAATAAATATTTGAAATAAGTAATTTTTTTATTAAATGTCTTTTTTTTCCTTTTAAACACCATTTGATTATTTTTTGCCAATGTTTTCTTTTTTTTAAAAAATTTGAACAAAATGTGACTTTTTTTCCTTGTTATAGATAACATATGAATTATAACTTACTTTGAATTTGTCATTTGTTTCAAATATTTGTGCAACAATATGATCATTTCTTTCTTGAAATGAACTGATATAATTTGATTTAAGCGCATAAAACTAATATATCAAAACTCGTTTACGGTAATGTGTTTTTTTTCAGCAAGAGCAGGTACAAATATCTCCTTTATTTTGAAAAAAAAAAATAATAAATTACAAATAAGAAATTCCATACTTTCATGAAATGTAAATGATTAATATATAAGTCTTACTTCAGGCCATATTTTACGAAAGAACGGGAAACAAAATACCTGTGAATTGAAAGGAATTCATTTGCTGCAGAACAGATCAAAGTGATATGTTTTATTTTGAAAAAAACGATTACACAAATAAATAACATAGCATTATTTTGACAGATTTAACTTCTTCGACTCCGGGCACGATTTGAAGTTGTAATACTCCTAAATCTAAATATGGAAGAATAATTTTAATTAACTGTATATTTAATGTTACTTTATATGATAAATACTTGTACAAGAATATTATTTTTTGTCTTATTTAAATTAAGAAGAGGTATCATTTTAGTTCAAATTACGTTTGTAAGCAGATTAAATAGGACATTTATTCACGAAAGTCATTTTTTTTTTTTGGTAACGTCATGATTTTTAAAGTAAAATATTTGTTTATACTATATAATGTGATTGTAGTGCTACCGTCATAAACTCAAAAGTAAAAATAAATATGCTCATGATTTTATTATCATTCTAAATAGATTTTAAATATATACTTGTGTTAAGTTTGTATTTTCAATTTCTTTGACTTTGCTGTGGTTCATGCGAAGAAAAAAAAAATCATACTTATATTTTAACTAATCTCATTGTTTTAACATTATCATTTAAGATTATTTTATAACTTTATTTTTATTGGGGGGGCGGGGGGGGGGCGGGTAAAAGTTTGTTGCTAGGGTGGGGGGTAGATGAAAAGACATAAAATAACAAATTGAACTTGTTTTACATTAGAAAAGACAAACACTTTTATTGGGGGGGCGGGGGGGGGCGGGTAAAAGTTTGATGATTGGGTGGGGGTAGATGCAAAGACATAAAATTACAAATTGAACTTGTTGTACATTAGAAAAGACCAACACAAACCATCGTTAATTCGAAAAAAAAACAGTCGTTGAAATAGAAATTGGTTTACACTGACTAGATCCTTGACCCAGTCACTTTGGAAAAAAAATCTCAGGACATCCCCTTCAACCGTGATGTCGTTTTCTTCAACATCCTGCACACCAAGAGCGATATTGAACGGCAAAAGGTTTCACAGCAAGATAGATGAAACAAACATTTAAGAAAGGGATTTGGCTTGATGAATTTAATTTGAGTACATGGTTAAATGATCTTATAATAAGTAGAGGGTTCGATGACATGCATACAAGTATAGAGTTTGGAGGCTTCATGCAAGTATAGAGTTTGGAACCTTCATGCAAGTATAGAGTTTGGAGGCTTCATGCAAGTATAGAGTTTGGAGGCTTCATGCAAGTATAGAGTTTGGAGGCTTCATGCAAATATAGAGTTTGGAACCTTCATGCAAGTATAGAGTTTGGAACCTTCATGCAAGTATAGAGTTTGGTGTCTTCATGCAAGTATAGAGTTTGGAACCTTCATGCAAGTATAGAGTTTGGTGCCTTCATGCAAGAATAGAGTTTGGTGCTGTAACATAATGCTCTGACATAATAATTATTAGGGTGTTGTATCAGTAGCATGGTTAACTGCTTTTATATTAATGATTCAGGATGCCGACTTGAGTAGAATAATACTCTTCCATTCCTTCACTAACTCATTCAGTCACACAAAGAAGTATATTAAATTCCAATTGAACTCACAGTACTTTATTACGTCGTCTTTTACAATAATAATATTAAGAAGAATCCTTGCATGAATATCCAGTTAATAACATCCACAATGTAATTTATTCAAATATGTATATATATATATATATATATAAAATATTCCATGGTACAGAAAATTCACCTCTCAGAAAAACACGTTCTCACTTAGCTACTACATTTAATGTACTGCCCCTTGATCACTCCACAAAAACGTGGGGCTCACTTCCGCATCTCAAAAACACAATTCACCCTCTCTCCCCGTGGAAAATATTGTCAACACAGTTCAATATTCACGCATGCTACCTCTCTGGTTTCTTGTGAAAACATGGTCTGTTACAGGTGCCTTCATGCAAGTATGGAGTTTGGTGCCTTCATGCAAGTATAGAGTTTGGAGCCTTCATGCAAGTATAGAGTTTGGTGCCTTCGTTGCAAGTATAGAGTTTGGTGCCTTCATGCAAGTATAGAGTTTGGAGCCTTCATGCAAGTAAAGAGTTTGGTGCTTTCGTTGCAAGTATTTGATTCGTGCCTTTTCCTAAAAGTATGACGTGGAATGCCTTTCTGGTAAGTCTTGGATTTTATGCCTTCATGTAAGTATAAGATTTTGTGCCTTCATGTAATTATGATATTTGGTGCCTTCATGTAATTATGATATTTGGTGCCTTCATGTAATTATGATATTTTATTCATTCATGTAAGTATGACATTTGGCACCTTCATGTAAGTATGACATTTGGTGCCTTCATGTAATTATGATATTGGGCGCCTTCATGTAATTATGATATTTGGTGTCTTCATGTAATTATGATATTTGGTGCCTTCATGTAATTATGATATTGGGCGCCTTCATGTAATTATGATATTTGGTGCCTTCATGTAATTAAGATATTTGGTGCCTTCATGTAATTATTATATTTGGTTCATTCATGTAATTATGACATTTGGCACCTTCATGTAAGTATGAGATTTGGCGCCTTCATGTAAGTATGACATTTGGCGCATTCATGTAATTATGATATTTGGTTTCTTCATGTAATTATGATATTTGGTGCCTTTATGTAATTATGATATTTGGTGCCTTCATGTAATTATAATATTTGGTTCCTTCGTGTAATTATGAGATTTGGCTCATTCATGTAAGTATGACATTTGGCGCCTTCATGTAATTATGATATTTGGTGCTTTCATGTAATTATGATATTTGGTGCCTTCATGTAATTATTAGATTTGGTTCATTCATGTAAGTATGACATTTGGCGCCTTCATGTAATTATGATACTTGGTGTCTTCATGTAATTATGACATTTGGTGCCTTCATTTAAGTTTGAGTTTTGTTGCCTTTATGTAATTATGAGAATTGGTGTTGTCAAGGTACTGGTAAGTGCGAGAATAAAGACTTTTCTTGATGGGGGATACCAAAGCTAAGCTCAAAATAAAATATAAAACATTGGAAAAGAAAGCAGCTGCTGATAAAGTCAAACAGAAGGAGATGTGGATTGTATAAATACAAGTGAACTGCTGATTAAAGTCTTACAGAGTGAGAAGTAGTTTAAGTTTTATGTTTATTTCTTATAGTTCAAGCCTCGTTTTTTCGTTAGTTTAGGAGAGAGGAGCCCGAATGATTAATACATTGAAATATGGAAGAAGAATATGATTAGAGGTTTAAAAAAAATACCAGTCCTTTTATATGTGAAATCGTATTAAAGCAATTTTATTTTGAATTGAAGTTTATGCGTAATCCGTGGTAATGTATGAAAATAGATATGAGGTGACACGATGAAAGAACTTAGTTGCATGGTATTTTTCCAAAATGAATACTCTAACACAGACAATAAACTGACAACAACGTATGCCATAAACGTTGGGTTTTGTTTATTTATAAATGAATATTCTAGTACACACACGTAGTTACACCCTATTTGTAAAACTACTTATATAACTTGTTCTGGTTCGGGTTCTGGTAGTGTTCGTTGCTGCATCCATAACTGGCATCTGTGCAACAGTTGGGGGAAGCGATGTTGCTATTCTAACAGCTCCTAGCAGATGCCAGGGCAGCCTTGAAATTTTCTACCGATGTTGAGTCCACAGCGGCATTTTCCAGGTGGTTCCAAGCGATTATTGTGCGTGGTAAGTATGATTGTTTATACTGCACTGGTGCTGCACCTAGGCACAGTGAAGCATTTGCTATCGTCTCGGGTATAACTGTTTATCGGGTTGTCACTGGTGAAATCAGTGTTTAGTGAGCGTTTGGCTCTTATTAAACGACCTGTTGTAGTTCTGTTAGTTTAACTGATGCAAGTGAGGTGGACTAATGGCTGCGATTAACTATTTTGTGTGGGAGAATTCGCTGGACACAAGTGTTTCCTTCTGGCTTGACAAATTAACTTATCGGATCGGTTGGACTTAAGTGAAAGGAACTGTTTCATTAGGGTGGACAAATGTTAAGTTTACCCGATGGCTGCCAATCTACCCAGCTGACGTAAACATATTTATGTCGGTAAATCTAAGTAGTAATTATTTTCCATGATAAGATGAAATTTGTAAAAAAAAAAATTTTAAAAAAAATTATTCCGCATGTAGTCAGTGGCGTATCTAAGGATAGTGCAGCCTCGGGGGCGGGATTCAATTTTAGACAATTCACTCCCTTCTACAGTGGGTCTAAAATGTAACGTCTCAATATAAAGAATAAAAAGTGACGCCACGGGTATTAAGCACTCCCCTATCCCTTATGTGCAACTACATATGGTAAAGGGGGAGTGATAAATGTACCTTTAATGTAATTAATTTGTAATGATAAAATCATATAATCGATTTATGATCATGAAAAAATCATAGAATTAATTGATAAATACGATAAATACACTCAGGAATTTAGGATGTGTTTACCTCTAACATCTAGTAAAACTATATTTACATTTTATATCTTTTTCCCCATAACGGAATTTTTTAAATGGTTTCTACTCTCTGCTTATCACAAATATTTCTCTAAGTTTTCAATGTTCCAAATCAAGTCCAAATACACATGTGTGTTTTTGGATACAGCTAACTCATCGTTCTTTTTCATTTGAAGGGACGTGTGTCTGTAAATGAAACAAAAATAAATATATGCTGGTTATACTTTATGTCTGAAATATTTTTTATTGCCTCAACACATGTCTCAATAATTTATCAGTCTGGAATTTAATAAATAAATAATAATAAAAATTAAAAAAAACTTCAAGCAATAAATAATTTTAAAATTTCTAATGAAAATAACTTAAATCAAACATATTCAAATAGATATCAAAGTAATTATGGCCGTCATGAGGACTTACCTTTTGGCTAAAGTCTAGTTACGTGTTCGACCAAAGAAGAATGAACCTAAAATAGTAATCAAATAAAAATATTTGAAACATATTGTTGAGAAACATTTAATATCGTATTTAAATGAAGTATTTCAGTACATTAATGATATTAAACAATTGTTTTCGACCACATAAATTAAACTTTATGATTTATTAATTTTAGGACGTGGAAAAAAATATATTTCATTATTTTTTTTAAAGAAAACCTTTAACAGATTTGTTACGATTATGTAACTCAGTCTCTACCATAAAATATATTCTGAAGTTTCTGTATACAGAATTACAAGAGAGATATAAATATTAACGGATACGTGAATCTCCTTTGAGCAATCTACTCTTAGATCATTATATTGCACATATAGTGTTAAGGAGAGAGCGAGAGATATAAAAAGAGAGAGAGAAAAAATAACAAGATAACGAGAGATGTAGAGAGAGAGAGAGAAATAAAGAATGGTAGAGAGAGACGTAGAGAGACAGAGATCAAGAGAGGGAGAAAGAGAGTCAGAAAATAAAAAGGGTGTGAAAAAAAGAGACACAGAGAGAATGAGAGAGAAAGAGAGCGACGAATAGAGGGAGAGATAGAGAGAGAGAAGAAAGAGAAAGAACGAGATAAAGAAACACAGAGATAGAGAGAGAGAGAGAGAGAGAGAGATTACTTTAGAGGGAGGGAGAAAAAAAAGAGTGAGAAAGAATGAAAGGCGTTAAAAACACGGTATTCATCCACCACATTTACTAAAGAAATTTCTGTCACCGCCTTCTCCTCCGTGAGCATGTCGACCACCGTGCACGTCTCTAATGGCAGCCTGTGGATTGCGTTGAATTAATTGGATTTATTCAATTTTTAAGAGGTTATAAAAAGTCCTGCATTAATATTACAATAGTTTTATTTTAAAGTCAATTTCAGTTATAAAATAGTAATGTAAAATTATGTAGTATACAAACTCAAAGTTCTTAAATTGAATTTTAATAACCAAATTCAGGGCTTGATTGTTAAAATAATAAAAATTAACACAACAATAAACACTTTTTAAAGATATGATGCAAATAAAAAGTGTCCCTTAAAACAGTTTTTTTTTTTTTTAAATTTAATCTAAGCCTCGTTTGTTATGCAATTTATTCTATGATTGAAAACTATTTTATATGGGGAAAAAACCTAAGTAATCATTTTTTTAAAGAAATTAAACCGTTAGTAGCCTACCCGTTATCAACGAAAACACATTTTAAAAAAAACAATTAAATGGGGATTAATTTTTACGTACATACCTGTTAGTTACTTATGAACCCCACCCCCCTCATCCAGCATCCTTAAGGCGGTAAACCAACTCCCCCCAAACGGCCCCTGGAAACACCATGTCTCCCCAACTAGACCATCTAACTGTCGTTAATAATGTTATAGAATTCTCACGTGCAAATATGAAGTGAAACAGCCTCCTCTATGCCACTGGCATTTTTCATCAGATGAAAATCTTTAAATTCTAAAAAAAAAAAAAAAATGTTGAAAAAAAATAGAAAAATTAAATTATTAGATCNTCTTACTATCATTAAGGAGTAGTTTATAACGATTTATTTGAAACTTGGACTAATTTTTTTTTCTATCTTTTGAAGAGTGAATATTTATATCATAGTTATTTATGAAGACTAAAATGTTTTGTTTTTTTTTTAATTCGTTTTGTGATCCTTGTTAACGAGTTAATCCCACGATTAAAACAAGGAAGGGGAGTGAAGCAGAGCGGTGCCATTATAATAATCTGGTTTTAACAATAACAATTTCAGTTATTTCCCTTCAACTACCAAGCCGACATGATATATTCTACGGCAATAAAGGAGGGGGGGGGGGAGGACAGAATTCAATCAGGTAAGCACATTAGGAAGTGAGTAAAACAAAGTCAGCTTAAACCTGAAAAATGGAACGCATAACGCTGTTCTGCTGCGTTCCTTTTTTTTCAGGTTTAATCTTACTTTATTTTATTCTAGGAATGGGCCCTAATTGCCTAGGTAGGATTAAATATAAATAATCACATTAGGATGTAACAGTAATACCTTATTTTTTTAAATCGGAAACAAGACAATGGTAAAGAAAGTAACACGGCCGATTTCATCGTTGTTCAAAGATTAAAAGTTGTGACCAAATGTTCATACTAAATGTTCAGACTACATGTTAGGACTAAAAGTTCATACTAAAAGTTCAAAATAAATTTCAGTCCAAAAGTTCAGTCCAAAAGTTTAGACTAAAGGCTCGGTTAGCTCGGATTACAACTCCTACTATTACCCAATATAAATCAGTTTTAAAAATTAAAAAAAATATATATATATATATATATCTTAATAAAACTAAATGGACAGACCATCACATCATCATGACTTTAAACTAAGGAAGCTAAGTTAAACATAAATAAAACGAATTTAATTGTCTCGATTGATAACACTTGCATTGTAAAGTATGTCTTTTACTTGTGAAGTTTTATGAGTAATCCCTTATTGTCTGTGCAGTTTATAGAGAGTATTTCTTAAGCAATCGTTAAAATTCCTCATTTGATTACCAGTACTTTGGCGTTAGTCTACCAGCTACTGTTTTTTTGACATGATGTGTGCAATCTGTAAGTAACAGCGGCGTAGCTAGGTTTGACATCTAGGAAAAAAAACAACAACACTTTTTGCCTCCCTACTCCCTACGAAAACAACTAAAATTTGCCAAGAATGCCAATCCGATTTCCATTTTTTGTTGTTGAAATGTTGACCAAGGCTTTCATTAATCTTGTTTTAATATATCATTTTACGTTATTTCCGTTTAAATGTAAACCTTAGTCACTCAATTAGTATTTTTTTTTATTTTCATATAAGGGTTTGTTTTCTGCCGGTTTCCCCTAGGCTTACTATCTTTAATCTATTCTAATAACGTGAACTAACTTCGCACATACCGTTGAGGTTGTTGACCCTGTTGCGCTCTAGTCTCACGGTGTTTTTTAGTTTAAGGCGTCTGCCCGTCTGTCGTCTGTCATCGTACGTGTAGTGCTCCTCTATTAAACAACCTTTCAAAATCTGATGAGATAAAACAACAAAAAAAAGTTTTGCACAACAGGTCTAACAGTTCTCTAGATATGAATGTGTGTATGTACGAATTTATGCAGGAAAGGTGCGTTTAGAAGCGGGCAAAATTATATTCCCGATCAAAGCGTTTAACGAGTCTGGTAAACATATAGCAAGTGCGTTTGGTGAATAACATGTTTTTGTTTGTTTTAGTCTGAGTGTAAACAGATTGTACTAAAAATTTGGTGTAAAAGGGGGTGGGACACAAGAATATCAATAAAGTTCATAAGCATGAAAATAGTTAGCGTTGACATAATTAGAAGATTTTTTTTCTTTTAAATATTGTGTGTGTGTGGGGGGGGGGGTAGCACTAATTATGATACGTATAATTTTGGTGTAAAAGGGGGTGGGACACAAGAATATCAATAAAGTTCATAAGCATGAAAATAGCTAGCGTTGACATAATTAGAAGATTTTTTTTCTTTTAAATATTGTGTGTGTGTGTGGGGGGGGGGGTAGCACTAATTATGATACGTATAAAGTGATATACTAAATGCATGTTTTCGTCAAATAACGTTAGTAAATGGGAAGTTCGCTCCTTTTACGCCACAAGTACATTATAATTAAACATAACCAATTAATTGTGTGTAAGTAAATGTATTGTAATTAGGTTTTCTTTAATCCTGTTTTAATATATCGTTTTACGTTAAGATATTGTTTTGTGTCTCATGAATATACTAATTACTTTATCGCAGTCCAACCCCATTATATTGGGACCTTGGTAGGCTGCGAAGGTGTAATGGTAACTCTGAGGATTTAAATGGCATTAACATTTTCTTAGAGGAGTAGATGGTCGAAATTCCATGAAAATCTCTATTTCTATACAACTTTTTTAAGAGAGATATGGTAATAATAAGAAGGGAGCGGAGAAAATTACAAGAGTGACACAATTAGAATTCAGAGAGAGCGATAGAAAAGAGAGAAAGGCAATGAGAGACAGAGAGAGAGAGAGAGAAAGAGAGAAAGAAAAAGTGAGTGAGAGACAGAGAGAAAGAGACATTGAGGGGGAGAAAGAGACAAAGAAAAAGAGAGCAAATAGGAGAGAGAGAGCGTGAGCTAAAGAGCAAGAAAAAGAAAGAAACAAATAGAAGAAACATGAAAATAGAGAGATGGAAAGAGAGAGATACTGAGAGGATGAAAGAGGGAGAGATCGAAAGTTAGAGACAACGAGAAATAACGAGAGAGAGAAAGAGTAATAGGAATGGAGAGAAACAATGAGAAGGAGAGAAAAAGAGAAAGAAACAGGAAGAATGAGAGAGGGAAAGGGAACGAAGTGGATGGGGAGAAAGACAGAGAATGAGAGCCAGAAAGAATGAAAAAGAGGAAGAGCGAGACAGAAAAAAAATTGAATAGAGAAAGAGAAAGAAAAAGATAAAGAGTTAGATACAGTTAGAATATAGAGAGTGATCGAGAGACTGGTAGACAGAGAGAGCGAAAAAGAGAGAGAAATTGAAACTGACAGGGATAAAAAGTTAGAGGGAGAGAAAGACTTCGAAAAAAGGAGAGTGAGAAACAGAGAATGGGAGACATAGAGAGCGAAAAAGGGAGAAAGCGATTGAGAGATAGAGACGGAGAATGGGAGAGAAAGGGAAAGAGAGAGAGAAAGAGAGAGAGAGAGAGAAAAGAAGACAGAAATAGAGCGATAAATATAAAAGAAATAATGCTGAACAAACTCAAGACCCACCTTAGTGTGACAGTATGACCCACCATAATCCTGGAGCGGCCCCGAACTACCGGGCCTCCAAATAATTATAACCATCATAAACTTGTCAGGCGTCGTATGCACCTCGTGTGCACTGTAACTGCTGTAACATACATAAATATTTATCATAGGTGTTACAGTTTGATCTCAATTTGCGTATTTTAAATGGTATTTGTTAATGGTCTATTAGTTGCCTTTGTTGTGTCCAGCCAGAGCAAAATGTTATGTTTTACATTTCCTAAAGTACATCTTTTTTATGTTATTGATATGTGTCACTTTAAAATTGCTGCACTTAATTACATTTCTGTTCTTCAACTGGCTCATATTTTTCAGGAGTAAGATTGTTTTTGGCATTGTATTTTTTAAACAAAATTTTTCCCCCCCACAGGTGTCTTGTATTGTGTTTATTAACGCAACGCTTCCCCCGTTCGCCCAAGACACCTTTGTAGCTTAGAATTCACCTTTCTTTAAATCAGACTACTACTTAGATTTACTTGATTAACTTTTTCTTTTTTTAAAGTATTAAAAAAATCATTAAATAGTCTGACTTTTAATTTGAATGTATATGATGGTTTATTAAAAGATACAGAGCAGAGGTAAATTGTAACAGAGTATATTGTTACATCATTTTTGTGAAAAGAGACAATGACAAATGGACGTTTGGTATATGAGACTGGACAATGACACATGGGCGTTTGCTTTACGAGACTAGACAATGACATATGGACGTTTGTTATATGGACTAGACAATGACAAATGAACGTTTGCTATACGAGACTAGACAATGGCATAAATGACGTTTGCTATACGAGACTAGACAATGAGATTAATGACGTTTGCTATACGAGACTAGACAATGACATTAATGACGTTTGCTATACGAGACTAGACAATGACATAAATGATGTTTGCTATACGAGACTATTGAATGCCATTTCGAAGTTTTGTCATACGAGACTAGACAATGAGATAAATGACATTTGCTATACGAGACTGGACAATGAGATTAATGACGTTTGCTATACGAGACTAGACAATGACATAAATGACGTTTGCTATACGAGACTAGAAAATGACATAAATGACGTTTGCTATACGAGACTATTGAATGCCATTTCGAAGTTTTGTCATACGAGACTAGATAATAAAATAAGGATTACTTTTTTTATAAAATAAAAAGCACACATTCTAAATTCTATAACAAAAAAAAAAAAAAAAAAAAAAATAAAAAAAGAATTACTTTTTTTAAAAAAAAAAAAACACAAATTCAAAATTCTAAAAAAAAAAAAAAAAAAAAAAAAAGCACACAGGTCTTGCAAAAAGTTTCATATTTACCTTTCACTGTCTGCCATGAAGAAAAAGTCTTTCCATTCTACTTCTTCACTTTCATATGACAGCAACAGCTTTCTCACGTTCACCATTACATTAGGATCTTTCCAGTTGAGCTTTTTAAGTGCTTCTCTTAGTACAGAAAATCCAAACATTTTTCGTAAAGTTTTTATTTTAATTTAAACTTGTTTTTTTTTTTCTCTTTCAAAATAAAAAGGAATGCTTTAAATTAAAACACATTTATTTAAGTTAAAATAAACACAACACACACGAACATCAAATTCTTCCAATCTGAACTTAAATACGTTTTTTGTAAGTACTGAACAGATACTTATCTTTAAGTCAAACACCGGAGCCTAAAATAGCATAAGGTTCAGATATAGATTATCTTGAGACCAACAATAAACATAGTCTTAAAAGAGAGACAATAAAGTGGTATTTTTAGTTGAGTTTTACGACAGTGAAACATGGTGTTATCGTCACGACTGAGAATTTAGCAGTGAAATCATTTTGAAATTAAAGTAAAATTTGGAACAATCATATCAACGATTTTTTTAATCAAAATTCTTGATTTAATATGAATTGAATCCAACTACTTGTGTATTTCTACATTTTTGTTTGTTTATTTTTATTTTACGTTTATTATATACAGGTATAGCGAAACCTTCAAAAAGTTATAGTCATACATTTAATGAGAAATCGAACTGGAATTTATTATAGATTTCTCGGGATTAAATAAATTGATACTTGTGAGATGTAAGCGAGTCGTTGTCAATGACAGTTACATTTCAACCATACTTAAATAAAGTAATTTAAATGTACTAGTGGCATTGATAATCATACTCGTACTTTATCCGCAAATACCAGTCAACATTTGAGAACCGCTTACGTCACTGCACAAATTTAAACCCACAGCTTACGTGCTAACATGGACTAACCTCAGATCCATATATGAGATGATCGTCGCCAGATAAAAACATGTTTTCATGGTATTTACCATATTTATACCATAACTATATGATTATTTTACCATATTTATTTCATAAATGTAGGATAAGTTTTCCATATTTATACCAAAACTATATGATAAGTTTACCATTTTTATGCCATAACCATAGGATAAGTTTACCATAATAATAGCATAACCATGTGATTAATTAACCATATTTATACCATAACTATATGATAAGTTTAAAATATTTATACCATAACTATATGACAAGTTTATCATATTTATAACATAACCATGTGATTAGTTTACCATATTTATATCATAACTATATGATAAGTTTACTATATTTATGCAATAACCATAGACTATGTTTAGCATAATTAGCACCAACCCCGTCCCATCTTAATGCATCTATATACTGCTGCAGCTGCCATTTAAGGAAGTTGAATCTATTTGCAAATTTTAATTCAAACTTGTTTTTTTTTAAAATAATTAATATCATTTAGGACATATATATTGGTTATCTGTCTTTAATGTGAAAACTGAAGTTTTCCATACAATTTTATTATTTTTAACAGCGTTAAGCTTTTTCTTTTTATATATTCATTTTATATATTGCAATGAGACTGATATTCATTTTCCCGAAAAGACATAATTCAATTGAATGCAATGTGAAGCTTGTTTTCAAAATCGAAACTTCTGGAAGGGGATGTATTTTTTTAAAAAATGTGATAAAATATTCCTGAGATATCTCTATAGAATATAATCGTATAATTGTTTTTTTTTTTTTTAATGTTGCCTTATTTTAGCAATAGTTGCATTGGTAGTTGCAAGAAGACTGCACCCAAAATGTCAAACCTATGCAAAAAACATAAGAGTGCGATCGACTATACCTTTTTCCTACAGCGTCTCATGCTGACTACAATGCTGGGGAGTCAGGTTCATTTATTTTCCGCATGGTCTAACCATGGCGCGGTTTGCTTTGCTCGCTGCGTCTCACTATGCAAGTCAATTTAGGCGAATGCGCGTTTGCCATGTGGATTGCTCTATATGAGGGACATTCGTTATGCGGGGAAACACTGGATTTCAAATTGTCAGACCAATTACAATGAAAAGCTCCAGTATGACACAGAATGTTGGGGCATCAAATAAATAGCATAGCGATGCATAGAAAACATGGGCGCCCACAGAAAACGTTCTGGGGGGGGGGAGCAAAAAAATCGATTAACTTTCCAGGTAGGGGCAAAAAATTTTTAGTAATGTTTTAATGTAGTTTTAATTTACTGTAGCGTATTTGTATGGTGAACGAACGGACAGGACATCAGCTGAGTTACTTTCTCTTTATTTTCTCTTTACTTTAATCCATTTTTTGTCTATCTTTGTCTAAAAAAAAATTTATCCAATCAATCGAGGGGGGCAAGTGCCCCGCCTTGCCCCTCCTGCGGGCACCCATGATAGAAAACCATAACTTTATTTCATTATATTATGTCTTGAAATTAAATGAAATATTTATGTTTTTTTTTGAAAGAACATTCAAAATCACAAAGTTTAAGTTTGATCCAAATATATAGTTATAATATATTACTAATTCTTCTTTTTTTTTTTTTTGTCCAATGGGAGCAATTTTTTTTTTAAAACACATATTTAAAAAAAATATGTTAATTAAAAATTTGAACATTAATATCTTCTATTTTTTTTGCTTTTTTTTTTTGTTTTTTTTTTTTTTCTTTTTCTTTTTTTTTTGTTTTTTCTTATTAAGTTAATTAGAGAATTATTTACATGAGAACTTATATTACTTATTCTTCTTTTTTTTTTTTTTGTCCAATGGGAGCAATTTTTTTTTTAAAACACATATTTAAAAAAAATATGTTAATTAAAAATTTGAACATTAATATCTTCTATTTTTTATGCTTTCTTTTCTTGTTATTTCTTTATTTCTTTTTCGTTATTTGTCGTTGTTGCTAATTAAGTTAATGAGAGAAGTATTTACATGAGAACTTACAAAACTATTATTTTTATAATTACTATAGGGAATTATTTTTAGGAATAAACGTTGTGTTAAAATGGTCGATTTTATTTCTTCTTTTCATTTGCATTTTATGTGAATGTGTTTTACAGATGTAGTAACCATGATCAAACATTACAGTACGAAAATTAAAATCATTTGAAATATAGACATGCTTTCAAACGAGTTGCAGCGACTTGGATGCTTTTAAACTTTGTGTAGTGAAATGACAAACCGTTTGTAAAATAGAAAAACGATTGAGGAAGTAAAATGTTACCTTACACTGTATATTGTGTCCAAAGTGAAGGAAATGTGGAGTAATTTTAACAAATGCGCACCCTGATTCAACCCATCATTAAATCGACATAGCAAGTCATTGATATATTCGCCTTCTGCAGTTTTACAAATACACGTTTGATAATCATTTTTTTAAAATATTATGACGATTTTCCCCCAAATTTTTAAATTTCCATAGTTTCTAAAATTGAGCCTTTATTTCCCTTTGGTGCTACGTAATACTAAATAAACAAGTTTTCCTAAGAAATGGTAGGTTAAATTTAATTTGGGTTTTTATCTGAGTTCTCTTTTATTCAATGCAATTCTATACAGGGTAGAAATGAAAAATAAAATCATGATTCATTCAAGCCACATGTGTCCTGCTTAGTGAACCATTTCGAAAATCAACGGGCACGCGAACACGATTTGGTCACGCTTGAAATGTACCGCTATTTATATGCTAATTATGTACATGTAACGGGCTAGTCTTAGACACTCGCCCAGTATTGATACAAATCCAGCAAGGTTAACTTCCAGGCCTATGTAGGGAGACATAATGTATGTATTACTTAAAAGTTGTTTTTTTTTAAATTTTATCTAAACATATATTAAATTAAATGGTGTAAATATAAAATATGATTTTTTTTATTTCGGATAAATCGTGTGATTTTAAACTAAACTAATTTAAAAAAAGATATGTTTTGCTTTTCAAAAGCTCAAATGCAATATATATCCTATAATAGAGTTTTTATACAAATTATTACAATCCTTGCTTAAAAATATTCATAATCCAAAATCAAAAAATGAGCTAAACATGTAGCATTAAAACGTTTCATTAAAAACTAAGAAAACAGTTAGAGATATAAATGCATTCGACAAATCATAGCGTGTGACGTAGACATCGATCTCTTAGCACGAGGAAAAATAATTTCCCTAGGAAAAGGTTTGGTTTCACAGAGTTGAGATTGTACCTAATTGTTGCGCAGTTCTCAAACTTTTCTCGAGTCAAGGCACCCTTTTAGTAACAGGCGCCCTATTTTAAATTCTGAAATATGCACTGTGAAATAGAACAGTCTCTTTTTTTAATTTTGACTGCTAGTCTTAAAATGATATATTTTTTACACTGAAAACGAGAATAAAAACTTCAAGAACAACACTAAATAACATTCAGTTGATACAATTTCCTAAAGTCAGTCGACACTAAGACTGCTCGAAACTAACTTCTGTTCATTATACGAATACAATGTACCAAGTATGGTTCAGAAGCTACTGACAGAAATGATGAACTTAATTATGGAAAAGCGCTCTCTAATAAACATTTTTAAAAGACATTATAAAAAATTATTATTAAACAAGTAACAGTTTTGCACCACACCCGATAGATGAAGTGTAATAGTTGCGTTGCGGTGCTTCTACAAGGAAGCGCTTGCTCTCCAAGATGCCATGGAGCTCAGTTTGGGATAATGTCGACTAGATTATAACACCATATCTTTGTTATGAGAGACGCAACAATACTTAAACATTTATGTTGAAAATTAAATTAAACGACACCTAAAAGATGTTTCTGGTTGTTTTAAGATCATTTATATTCATTTTTATTATTGTATTTTATAGTAATTTTCTCATGCCCTATCACTTTAACATCGCAGATTATATCGGCAACTATTTTACAAAATAAAGAAAGAACATATTACGCACCAAAGGAACTTGCGACATTGAAAAAAAAAAGAATCCCATTTGAAAGAATGTGTTGCCATCGCCAACAAGTCCGTCGGCCAGGTCCACCTCGATGGGTTGACTTAGTGACACTTTTTTCTCCAAAAAAACATGTGTATATCCATGGATGGGGGCAAAATAATATCCGTTATTAATGGAATTATGGGTATTAAATAAACAAACAGCAAAAAAAAAGAAAGAAATTAACTCCAAATCACTAAAGTAAAATGAAATTAACTTTATTTTTTATAAAAAAATGAAAGAAACTTACACTAAATAAAGGCTATGCTCAGCGTTTACAAGCACAATAACAGGTGCTCCCCCTTTTCTAAAATTATGTTAGGCCTATTGTAAACAGACCACACCAATTGTGTAGATTTATTCGAACCCAAAGCTACTCTTGTGCCATAAAATCTGATTAATCATTCATCTCATACCAACACCATATTAACATTGAAAAGGATTTATTATTTAAAGTGGAGCCTGATGTAACTGTATTTCTTTTAATGTTTTAATAGATGATAATTGCATTTTGTGCAATTTGACATATTTTCACAAAACAGTAATAAAAACTATTAAATGGTTTCATATCCCATTACAGCATTCCTTTTTTTTATAGAAATTATAATTTTTTTTTTTAACAGGGCTGATAATCAGGTAAATAATAGCTTCGGCGACTTGATGGAGCTCATTGGATTTGACCGAACAAGTCAACAGACGGATATCATGGAAATTTGCAGAAAGTTTCTAGGAAATCTTACGCTCAATCCGACAATCTTAGACAGAATGAGTGTTTTCAATGATGAAGAAAAGTAAAAAAATGTGCTGTACTTTCATTAACTTTTAATTATGAAAAATTAAAAGTATGTTTAGGTATTGATTAAAAGAAATGTAAAGATAATTACCCTTTGCTATAGCCTCTCTTATAAATTAAATTAGTTTCATATACTAGTTATTATTTATTTGTTTAATTTTTTTCAGAGACGATACAGTTATTTACAATCAAATTGAAATCTTAAAAAAAAAAACAAGTTTACTATTCCGAATAGCATATGCGTTTAATGTTTTTTTTCTTCAGAAAATCGTATTTCTATTAAAAGTATGCTTTCTACAGCACAATTTATTGTTTATTTCCTTTTTCTTTGACAATTGAGTCTGTATTTTTTTCCAAAACACAATTCAATCTCTGTTCATTTTCCAGTGCACAATGGATTCTCTATTTTTTCTAGGGGGTTACCTATTTGTTTTCTACTGCACTGTTGAAGCTTTGTTTATTTTTCTCCTACATACTTGTTTCTCGATATGTTTTCTACTGCACATTTTATTCTACTTCTTTTTCCCTTCTTTAGAGCTTCAGTTTTTTTGTAGTACAATTCAGAATTAAAACTTAACTTGATGTATTCATGTCGTCACATCTGTTTTGATGTCATGCATCTGCACCCACTAGTGACGATACTGTTATAAATATATTTGTGTGACCCATTAGATGTAGAACACAGAATTGCGTTCCAACGATTTTTAAGCTATTCTTAATTAAGCTTTTAGTTTTGGCGATTAGTTACTTGCCAGATGCATTTTCAGTGGCATATACAATTTTAGTTGTGTTCATGAATAGCGAATTTAAAAATGCAGAAATCGTATTTAAAGTTTGGGTTACACAGGGAATGTTCATGTCGTTATTTGCCACTGCGAAAAGTGGTGAAGAGAGTCTGTCGTGTTTTACTCTAAAGCAACATCAAAAAATATCCATATTTGACATGTCAAGTGTTTTGGCTAATTAACTTAAAGCAGACATTCAACTAATGGTATCACTTTACTAAGGGCATGCAAAGTATGTTTTTAGAGAAGTAGAAGTGATTTAATATTACTTAGTGCCTATACAGAGTTCTACATTGAAAATCAAGCTCCAATATTGATATATAGTTATTTCATTTATTAATAAATTAATGAAAATATTAAACAAAATTAAAAATAAAAAGTTTGAATTTTAAGGTTTGTTACCGTTAATAAATTTTATATTTTTTTGTGTTGTTATCTTTTTTTTTTACCAAGATTGATAACCACTGTTCTAAAAAAATATGTGTGTAACACGTGGCGACGCTAGGGGTGGGTTGAATGTGCCAAAGGGGCGGTGTTCGGAATTTGTTAAAAACACATTGATTTACAGCAAAGCTCCCCGGAGACTAAACTAATGTATTTAAGCTCATAGTTTTGTTATGCTCATTGGCTCCATATCTTGTTTGTGCTGTCCCTATATATGTTTCTTACCCTTTAATAACTAAAACATGATTGAGAGAATAGCAATCCTATTTTACATCAACGTGACGTCGAATTTCGTCACATTGTCTTTTTAAAAAAAATTCAATGAAATGTAATTTTTTTTTACAAATACAATGTTATTGTAAATCTATTTCATTTATTTTATGTGTCGAGAAAGCTCTAAAATGTATGCAGACCAATCAGGAAATCCTGTTTTTAGACGTAACTGAGTTATGTAGTTCAATGGTAGCTGTCGACCTAGCTTTAAAGACTGTCTTGATCCAAATATATTTTTGACTACTTGTTTGGTTTAGTTAACTTACCAACTATTACATTTTTTTTTTTTGGGGGGAGCACATATAATTCTTCAGTCGAAATCAACTATGACCACCTGAGACAACATTACTCATCGTTTATGCTTAATGTGAAATGCGCATATGGTAGATGAAATCTATAATTGCACGAAATGCTCTTGTTCTGGGATATATTTAACACATTAAAACGGTTACAATAGAAAACTGATCACAGTAGTCGACGTGTATCAAGTAGAATTTTTATAAGGACCTTCAAAAATAATATGTTTAATTTCTTACACCAATCTTTAAGAACTTTCTTGATGCTTTGATTCCAAAATTAGAAAATGCGAGCGGATCGCTCAAATTTCCGTTGATGAAAGGTTCAACATGATGCTACTTCGTTGGCAACCTGGGGTGGCAAACGTACTGCATGATCACTCGAACTCAAGGGCCTATTTCAAAGTAAGTGCTTCATACATAATACATTCCCCAATTAGTATAATTGATATGCATTACAGTTGGGAAAATCCAGAAGTCTAAAAGAATTTTTTTTTATTTCTTTTTTTTAAATGGAAGACTTTTGAAATAAATAATTAGCAACGAAAACTACAGTGCCTTTAAATATGATGTTTGTTTTAAGGTTTTGAGAGGTAGAGTGAAAGAAGTTCACTACAACTATGACGTCAGCAGACCACAGGGTGAGAGACTACGAGACAGGGCCAGCCTTACCATCAATGAGGGCGAGATGAATGATCTGGACAGTGCGTTTGCTTTTGTTTCTTAAATAGCTAATCTTAAATGAAAAAAATAACTCAATATATTAGACGTAGTTTTTAAATCAATATAACTCGACAATTGAGCTTTAAGAAATTGAACAAAAAAATTTGCTGAAAGTTTTAATTTTACATGTCAAAAGGTGCTTAAATTTGATGAAATCTATGGTACCAGAAGACTAGGTGAGCAGTCAGGGCATTCAAAAACATTAACATTCAAAGTAAACATGATCTAACTAATAGTATAAAATACTACAAAAATGACTTATGATATTCTAATTGAAATATTTATGACATTTCTTCTTTCAAAGAAAGCAAAAATAAAAAAAAAATTAAAAAAAAAAATTCATGGAAAAGATGCAACAGCAAACTAACTTGTCTAAATGATTTGGCAATCCTTCCTAGATTACAAATACTTTAAATTATTTTCAGGGTGGCTGCCTTATTTATAGTAAATGTTCTTTATGTTAGTATTATTATTAATTACTTTTTTTTTTTAAAATGCAACTCACCTTCTTAGAACAATCTTTTCTATTTCATTTATTATTTTTTTTTTAAAATGTATTTTCAATACAGATTTCAGAGACTATCATAGGGTATTTAATGTGGGTGACCGTGTGGCTGTCACCATTCATATATACATGTAAGTTTGTTCTGTTTTTGTTTCAAATGTTAAGAAAAATATACGAAAGGCAAAGAAAGAAAGAAAAAAAAACATTTAACCTTGCACTCATAGGCATGGGTGCCTATTGGACATAACAGTAACCCCATTTTTTTCTACCGGAAATGAAAGGCTTGGACACATTGCCATACATTATTTAGGTTTATTTGTCATAATCAGCTATTTTCCATTTCGATTTCTTTTTATCTTTTTATGTGAAAATGGGAAAGCTAATAGAGTTAACTGGAAAGGGCTTAAATAATTATGTGAGCGAAATTTCATTTAAACTTCATTGTTATAATAAAATATATCCTTATAGTCTAGTCATTTAGAATGTTTAAATCCCTTATTTTACTTAATTATTTTTTTTTTTTATTTTTTTTATAATTTTTACAAGCCATTTACACTTCTGAAGTATTTTTTCTTTCATTCAATCTTATGCAAATTAAAAAAATATATATATTATGTGAATCAGAACGATAGAAGCGCAGCTTTTTTCGTTATCATGCTACATTATTATGTTGAAAATCAATTTGGTAATAATTTATTCATGTTCCATGTGAATTTCTTTAACTTTCATATATACTCATTAATTAAATGGTTTGTCTTGGGGTCAAGATCGGATGTGACTTAAATATCAGCACCTGGTCTCTGATGTTCATCATCATCATGTCCTTTAGTCCTTGGACAGTTGTGGCACCACAGATGACATATGAATTATCCTCCTCCATTCGTCTATGTCTTCTGCACGTCTCACAGCCTCCCCATTGTTTTTAGTCCTGTGCAATCTTTTTGATGTTATCTTCAAATCTTTTTCTCTGTAATTCTCTTCTTCTCCCTCCTCTGAGGCTACTCATCGGGTGTTATCTGGCCGCGAGGCTCTATGAACACCCCTATTCATGTTAGTTAATATCAGCTTAAGATGAACGTTTCTGTACAGACCACCACTGAGGATGTGTAGATGCATCAACCAAGAGACTGAGGATATCACAGATGTTTGGATGGATGAGAATGCCCGGGGAAAATTGGTAAATATAGTTGAAGACTTGAAATTTAAAACTAGAATTATAAATTGAAGAAGGGAATAAGTAACAATAACATAAGTATAAATTAAAGTATGGATAATTTATTGTTTGTTTTAAAAAAAAATTAAAGGAAATTTTCGGCCGTCAAAAATCTGTATATGTCAACTTAATATTTTTATAAATATTGTTTAAATTTAAATCGAGCAACTTCCCGTATTGATCCTGATTTATAAATGATTTAACTTTCAAAGACCAATTTGTTAAATATCTGTAATCTCAAGTGTAACCATTATTTGATTGACCTGGAAGGGAGTCTCGGTAGAAGACACATACTGCTGTTTTTAGTACACTGAGTTTACTACTACACTATGACAATCTTTGAAGCAGGTTACAGACAATTTTCAATCAGCCACACAATCAAAGTTTGAAGAAACAATTTAATTATGATACATTCGGACAATTATTAATCCTTTGAATATAATTCTTCAAAAAAAATTATTATACTAACATAAGGAAAAACATTACTAGCCAATATAAATAGTGAACAAAAGAAATAATTATTATTTTAATTATTTTTATCGTTTTGATTTTGAAAAGCATTTTATAGTCCCTTAACTAATGATTAAAAGTAATTAACCCTTTTTTTTTCTTTCAAATCATCGAGTTTTTTTCGTTAAATTAATTCAACAATTACTTTATTGATGAACATCGGTCGATTTATGTATTATTTATTTATTTTGATACCCATTTACCTCGTTTAACATCTTCAACCTGGACGTTGGAAAGACTGATGAAAAGTGTCCCTTTAGTAGACAGTGTCAGTTGTTCAACTCATGTGTAAAAACATTTTTCTTGATACATCACAATGAATAATTACTTCTATTCAAAATTGTATCAATAGTGTTTATTTTCTAGTATGTGTATGAAGCTTATCGAGACTGAATAATCGACACCGGCTGCAAGAGACAACCAATATGTTTGTCAAGGGGCAAACACAAGCTTTATATATTTTTTTCTTTAGTTTTAAATGTTCGTGTATGTGTATGCAGATTGTAAACTTACAATACATACATTTATATTCAGGCTCGTCATTTCATGTTTTTTAATGGAATGGGGATGGGGGCAAAACCAAAACTTGGTCAGCTTTTAAAGTTGTTTAAAACTTGAGGCGTCACAATACATAGCAATTTAAATAAAAAATGCAAAAAGGAAGAGGAGGTAGGGGGAGAGAATGTCCAACCCTGCGCTAACCAAATGACGTCCCTGTATCAAATGAGATAGTGGCTCTCCTTAATTTTTTTTTTAAAAGTTTATATCAAATGTATATATGAATATTTCTACGCCTGTATGCATGCGTGCGCATATGTAATTATATATGTATGTATGTATTTATGTTTATATGTATGTTTATATGGATAGATGGATCAACGGACTTACAAACGTATGTACGGACGTAAGTATGAATGGACGGATGGAAAGAGAGACTGAAGGATGACAGGATATGCGGATCCATGCATGAGAGGACGGACGAAAGGATGGATGAATGAACGGATAGCTTGCAGGACATATGGATGGGTGAATACAATGATGGATGTCTTTAATGTCTATTACATATACTTTCTTTTGTAATTAAAATTTTAAATGGACATGTATTGATTAACATATTATTAGTCTCATTTCAACAAGACCGCTTTATTTTATGTTTTATTCATTTTCTTTATACATAAATGAACAATACAATACTATTCTATTTTTATTACTAGAATTTATTATAGTATGATCTCTACTCTTTGCCTCTTATTAACCAAATCTAAAATAAATAAATAGAAAAAAACTAATAATTTTAGTTAACGTGTGTGTTGTTGTTTTTTTTTGGTTAAAAAATTTTAACTTTAAAAAAAATAAATTATCAGGTCTGGTTTCCTTTCTTTTTTGTAGTAAGCATTGTCATTGACTGCCAAAATGTCTTTTGAGTCAAATATAATTAGGTGTGACAAATTATGTAGATGTTCATCAGCTTATGTAGCCATGTTCGCTCTATAAATAAAACTGTCATAGAAACAAAACGCAGTGTTTTTTTTTTTTACATCATCTGAATTGATTTTGATCTTCATTTCATCATGGGACCATCGACAAATTTCCGGAAAACTTAAAACTGATTGTAAACTTAAGAAGATGTTTAAACAAAATTTTAAAAAAAGCTTTCCTAAAATGTACAGAAAAGTATATAATAAATTACAAAATAATTTGCAGTAATACTACTAAAAAAAAAAACATATATATTTTTTTTCATCTCTGGTGGATAACTGAACATTTTTCAGCTCGATTGGAAACCAGGAGATGGTTCGAATTTTTTTATGCCAGATATCCGTCAGTCTATATTGTAAGGAAACCTTGCTTGCTCTCTGCTAACCGTCATCAATATCTGGCATTAACTAAGGAAACAACTCAGGCGATAACAATTGATGATTATAATTTTGTTCTTTATTAGGCTAACACTTCGCTTATACTTTCTCTCATCTCACAACTCTGACTGCCCTCTTCCTCTACCGTCGGAGCTCTCCCTGCTATCTGCTTCTCTGTCCGGCCGCCTTCTCCCTTTCCGTCCAGACGTCCCTATTTATAGGTCCCTGGGTCTGTACTTGCGCCGCCCCTTTTCTCAGTCGGGTAACGTCATCCCAGGGAAATGCCCTGGTCAGATTTCCGGTACCGCCACAGGCGCTTTATCCTTCGATCGTGATCCCTGGTCAGACGGCCGTGAACCCTGGTCAGACGCCCCCGGCACCGTCGTGATCCGAACTCTCCACAATGCCCGGCGCCGTCGTTGTCCCGTCGTGGTCCGAACTCTCCACAACATTAACTACAGGTCACGGGGTGACCGTCTGCTCTTGAAAGTTCGTATTTTCATCGGTTCTGGGTAAGTGTGCAAAAGTCCATCTACATTGGACCCTGGGAATCGGGTCGAAATTGAGAAGCAAGATTCCACCCCAAATAAAATGACAAAGTAAGCATAAATAAAATGTCTCCTTAGCATTGTAAATTTCCCTATACGCAAAACATTGAGAAGAAAATGCGGCAATCCTGCCAATGCGGCAATCCTCCGATGTCCGGTCCCAAATTATTTCCAATGATTAATCCTTACTTAAAAGTCTTGGGCATCATTCTGTTTTGAAACTCATGTTTGCGTTTGTGGACGATGTTAGAGATTGTTGGCCATCCAGATGCACAAACACTCAAGCGCATTATCACTAATCATGTGTTACCAGGAACAACTACCGTCAAGGACGCTTGGCGAGGATATAAAAATGTCGGTCAGCTCAACAACGGGAGTTACGCTCACGCTGTCATTGTGCACGAGCGTGAATTTGTTGATCCAGTAGACCAGGAGACTCACACACAGAAACTATTGAAGGACTTTGGATGCAAGCGAAACGTAAACTCCGCTATCAGAGTGATAGGCCCACTAGTCGCGGTCTGTTTGCCAGCTACTTGGGGGCCTTTCAGTGGCGCAACAGTCACCAGCAGAACGTTTTCGGCTGGTTTTAGCAAATGCTATGTGCCAATGACAACATTTAGTATTTACTGACTGGTTTGCAAAGTTACAGTTATTTTTAAAAGCTATGACTGACATATCTGCTGTTTTCTAACAATACACACTGTGCAATACAGTTTCTTTTCATACGAAATAATTTGGGACCGGACTTCGGAGGATTGCCGAAAATGCTATCAATATTGTTTTTTATGAAATTGAAAAGAGAGGCCCCAGTGGGTGCTGGTTCCATAAGGTGCCCTTAAAGTTAACAATGGAATAGGAGGGAACTATCTCATTCCTTAGATGTATATTCCCGTAAAAATTAAAGACAAATTATTCCCATTTAAATCACTTTAAAATTTGCCCGCGGCACCATAATATGTATGTTATGCGTATCAATCTTGATCAGGCCTGCACAACATACGACCCGCGGGCCGTGAGTTGCCCGCCAGTACCCGTTTTGTGGCCCGCGACATGACGAAATATTATTTTTTTATTATTATTACTTAATAGATTGCCCCCTCTGTCCTATTTTCTTTCGGCCCGCAGAAGTTTTCCCTAATGTATTACGGCCCGTCTTACAATTTGAGTTGCGCAGGCTTGATCTATATCAATTAGTATTCCATGTTGGATACTGAAAAGAGGTAACGTATATTTTAAACTGCATGTCTGTCTAGTTTTGTCACCAGAAAAGAATTGGCGCAGAAGCCCATAAGGTAGCTACAAACTACCAGTATTTTAGAGCGTATAAAGGAGCAACGAATCAGGGAGACACCAAACACAACAGTAAATGTATAAGCATTACGAATTCACAACCCACCAGTGTGTTTGTGTGTTTCTTTTCTAATATGCTCTCTCCATGTGTAGACCTTAAGTTTCAAGAACAAAAACTCATTTAAATGTCAGCAGACCGCAATCTATTGAATAGTGCATAGAACGACGATTGATTTCCTGCCCCCTTCTATTCGCTACAGCCTAACGGTTGTATTGGCCGGGAACAACCCCTTGTCCTATGTTGGTCAATTTGGAAGACACAAATTGACAAAATACGTTGTTATTTTTTTGATTGGATATGTTTATTTTTTTAAATAAGAACACTAACACGATTTTCTTTTCCTTAACCCCCCCCCTCTCCCCCAAACCTTTCCCCCATATTCATCCACCTACCAACACTCCTACAGAATGTCCACGGAAGTCGCTTTCTGTAACTAGCGACAAACGTCCAGAAGTTAAAAATAAGTCTGACTTAATACAAATATTTAATAACTAATTATTAAAAGCCCTGACGATTGCGTTTAATAAAATTTTCTGTGGAATTTATGTGCCCAAGACTGACCCCCCCCCCCACCAAACCACTGACTTATTATCGCTCAATTTCTTATTCGACCGACAGACAGGTAAGAGGATAACTAACAGTAACACATTTTGTCTTATTTTAGCGACAGACAGGTAAGAGGATAGACTAACAGTAACACGTTTTGTCTTATTTGAGCGACAGACAGGTGAGAGGATAGACTAACAGTAACACGTTTTATCTTATTTGACCGACAGACAGCTGAGAGGATAGACTAGCAGTAACAGGTTTTGTCTTATTTGAGCGACAGACAGGTGAGAGGATAGACTAACAGTAACACGTTTTGTCTTATTTGACCGACAGACAGGTGAGGGGATAGACTAACAGTAACACGTTTTATCTTATTTGACCGACAGACAGGTGAGAGGATAGACTAGCAGTAACACGTTTTGTCTTATTTGAGCGACAGACAGGTGAGAGGATAGACTAACAGTAACACGTTTTGTCTTATTTGACCGACAGACTGGTGAGAGGATAGAATAGCAGTAACATGTTTTGTCTTATTTGAGCGAAAGACAGGTGAGAGGATAGACTAGCAGTAACACGTTTTGTCTTATTTGAGCGACAGACAGGTGAGAGGATAGACTAGCAGTAACACGTTTTGTCTTATTTGACCGACAGACAGGTGAGAGGATAGACTAACAGTAACACGTTTTGTCTTATTTGAGCGACAGACAGGTGAGAGGATAGACTAGCGGTAACACGTTTTGTCTTATTTGAGCGACAGACAGGTGAGAGGATAGACTAACAGTAACACGTTTTGTCTTATTTGAGCGACAGAAAGGTGAGAGGATAGACTAGCAGTAACACGTTTTGTCTTATTTGACCGACAGACAGGTGAGGGGATAGACTAACAGTAACACATTTTTGTCTTATTTGAGCGACAGACAGGTGAGGGGATAGACTAACAGTAACACATTTTGTCTTATTTGACCGACAGACAGGTGAGAGGATAGACTAACAGTAACACGTTTTGTCATTTTTGACCGACAGACAGGTGAGGGGATAGACTAACAGTAACACGTTTTGTCTTATTTGACCGACAGACAGGTGAGAGGATAGACTAACAGTAACACATTTTGTCTTATTTGACCGAAAGACAGGTGAGAGGATAGACTAACAGTAACACGTTTTGTCTTATTTGACCGACAGACAGGTGAGAGGATAGACTAACAGTAACACGTTTTGTCTTATTTGACTGACAGACAGGTGAGAGGATAGACTAACAGTAACACGTTTTGTCTTATTTGACCGACAGACAGGTGAGAGGATAGACTAACAGTAACACGTTTTGTCTTATTTGACCGACAGACAGGTTAGAGGATAGACTAACAGTAACACATTTTGTCTTATTTGACCGACAGACAGGTGAGAGGATAGACTAACAGTAACACGTTTTGTCTTATTTGACCGACAGACAGGCGAGAGGATAGACTAGCAGTAACACGTTTTGTCTTATTT